TTGTAAATACTTAGAGTGTTTAGGAGTCAAATATGGTCTCTTCCTCCTATGCTTCGTCGCTAGTTAAACAACCACATAGACAGTAGATCCTGTAATTTACGATCGAGACTGTGGCTTAGGTACAAATGTTCGTGTGCACATCGTAAACACTCGGAATACAAGCTGGTGCTAACATTTTCTCCCAATGACATTCTCTCTCACTGTTAGACATCGGACCAAATTCTAAAAGGAAATTGTCGACGATACATACTATATATATAGAGAAAATCCGTTTTGCCGCATGCTCTTCACAAGGACTCTCATGGGCTGTTAAGTGATTACGTGGGCGTATAATCATGCTTAAGTTAAGGCACTTTACGCGCGTGTTCATTCATACATATATACTTCATTCATTAGCGTACAACCAACACTTTAAACATATACCAAAGTCAAGTATCAGAACGGAATCAAAGGGACAAACTCAATTGTAGTTTTCACTTTGAAATATATATATTAAAAAAAAACATTTTTTCAAAATATATACAAATGCATATATATGTATCCAATTTCAAAAATACTATTTTATTTCAATTAAAAAAGTCGAAATAAAAAATATCTAAATTGAGCTAATTTTTTACTTATTCTGTTTTAAAAAAATATTACCAAAATATATTTTTCGCAACAAACATGAAAAGATTTTTAAAAAACCATGAATGTAAATCCGGAATTACAATTGAGCTTTAGTCGATTTTATTGATCGGATTGTTTGAATTCCCATTAAGTTTTCCATTTTACCAGATTTTTAATGGTTTTTAAAGGCAATAATAGTTTTTTTTTTTTTTTTAAATGGAAAACTGCTCGATCTACATATATCAGAAATGCTAACAATTTCACGAATTTTCTATCGGATATATAGTAGTATATAAATCTCTCTCTCTCTCTCACTCTCTTTCTCTCTTTTATCTCTATTTCAGTCTATTTCTTTTTTTTCATTTTAACTTTCCTCTTTTCTCTTTCGTTTTACTAATTCACTGCATCACTGCTACTTCTACCTTCTCTTGCCACCCCCGCAACAGAAAACGCACTCATTCTCGAACGACATTTCTCGTCCTCGTTTTACCCTCAAACACGTTCCAGCGCACTCCTGATCCAATTCTAGTTTCTCAAGATATGCGGAGAATGCGCATTGCCACATGAAAATTCCCAGAAGACGGTTTTGTGACAAATTTATAGTCGTCTAATTCGCGATAAACGCTTAACGAACGACATTCACGATTCTGATTACACTAGTAGGAGAAATGACAATTAAAATATAAATTTTGTACATTTTCTATATAATAAATTAACGACTGAACGAGATAGAAGACATACAATGAATTACAATTTTCTTCTTAATATAGAAGAATATATTTTTTTTTCAAAAATAAAAGATATTCATTTTAAAAAAAGATTTCTCCGATTGAAATTATTTCTATTTATTTACTATTCCTCTAAAAATGAGAGTATTTTTTTTAAATTGATTACCTAATTAACACCTAATACTGAAACCAAAAATAAATATTAATATTGACTATACCAAAAAAAGAAAAAAAAGGATTGAATGAGAATATGTACTTTTTTCCCAATATTCAGATGAAGATTATTAAAAACGAACATTAAAATATTTTTTTCTCATAAAAATGCACTGAACTAAATATAATTCAACTAATCGTTTACTTTAATCAAATAAATGTTTACTGGAACCAAATAATTTTTATTTCAATTAAATAAACTGTATTTGAACCACTTTCTGTATTTGAAACAAATACCATTTAATTGACACAAATAAAAATTATTCGATTCAAGGAAATATTTATTTGACAATAGTCAAATAGATTATTTGAATCAAATAAATTTTTGAAAAATTTTAAAAATCCAAAATGCAACCTTTTTACAAATTGCCAATTTAAGAATATTAAAACAAAAAATATGACTGACATTTAAAATTCTAATTCTCAATTTTGGAAGTTAGTGCACACACACACATATATGAATTTGGAGTTTAGAATTCATTGACTAGAGCGCAATCTATTCAGCATAAATTTGAATTAAATTCACAAGTGCAATTTATGACTCTTAACGAGAAGAAACAGACTGAAAAATGCGAAATTTCGAAAACATGAAAAAAATTGTCAACATTGAAAGGCAGAAATTATTATATAAAAAAAAAAATGTTATGAAATAAACGATAATAAATTTTTGCGAGTTTTTAACCTTTTGCATTCGCGTAAATTTATCATTTGCCAGAAATGGCATTCAAAATGCGAACACATTATTATTTTAATATATCTTTAAAATCCACAGATGATGTTAACGTATATAATTTCCTCTCTTTTTCGCATATATTTTAACAGATTTTTTTTTTAAAAAACACTTTTAAAGGTCATATTTAAACGAAAAAAAAATTTCTAATTCTTTCAAACAAAAATTCTAAATACATTATTCTGTATATAATAAAATTCCAAATCAGAATTACTGGATTGAGAAAAAAATTTAATTTAAATAATCGGCTATTAACAAATAAATATTTACTTGATCCAAATAATTTTTAATTGAATTAAATAAATTATTGTATTTAGAATCAATAATTTCTGTATTTTAATAACCTTTAATTGACTTAAATAATAATTATTTATTACAAATAAAATATTTATTTGATAATAGTCAAGTAAACAATTATTTGAATCAATATTTTTTTCCTTTTTGTAGTAAAATATTTAAATTATTTCAAGAATTTTCTGCCGGAAGTTGTAGAAAATAAAACAAATCTTTGAAATCTGATTGAAGTGAAAACTATATAGTAACGGTGCGCAAATTTGTACCAAAACTTGAAATACTGGCTTGAAATTCCCCCCTCGTTATACGAATCACCATAGGAAACCGTGTGTGTTAAACGAGACCACACGTGTCGCAAATGCGTTCCCAGTAGCCACTCATAAATAAACCAAAGAATTAACAATCGTCTGTAAATATTTTTCCAAAAAAAGCATATTTCTAAAAATTAGTTCTATTTTGAAAAATTATAATTTAAGTTTTAAAATAGCTAAATTTTTAAATAATTTTCAAAAACTACCTTTTAAAATTCAGATGAAAGTAGGAATTTTTTTTTCAATATTTTGCAAAAAAAATTCCATTAAAATAAATAAAATATGCAACAATGTGAATGAAAAAAAAAATCATAAATAATATTATTAATTATCTATTAAAATATGCAATGACGTGAACGAAAAATAAAAAAATAAAAAAACATATAGTACAATAAAAGAGTTATCAACTAGATAGAATATTGATTGTTTTATACATATTCATTAGGCATCGATAAAATGTACCTTTGAATTTAATTAATTCCAATTTCCTGAGTTTGAATCAAAAATTTAATTGTAACAATTTATAGTCATGAGAGTATTCGTGCGAGATTTAATTTGAAGAAGGTTTTCAGTAAAATACATATAAATATATACATATATATATCAACACTAACATTTCCCTTTTTTTTTCTCTATTTTGCATTTTTCAATTTACGCACGAATCCAGGCGATGAAATTGTTTTCCAAGAGATGGCGACTTTTAGTAATTATTTTCGTTAACGACAATCTGGTTGGGGAAAATTGCAAATAGAAGGACACACAGAAATTTCATAATGAAACTGTCCATCTATCGAGGCTATTCATTGAGTCGCTGAGCGAGAAATATAATTTAAGGGTATATAACTGTGAGAGGAAGGGGTGGTGGTGTATGTATTAAAATTTCATTATTATCATATTGCCCTGACAAGTCCAGATGTTAATTAAGTTTGGGGAAATTCAAATAAACCTCAAGGGTAAATTTTATACAAATAATTGACTGTCAATCAATGTGTGTGTATATGTGTTGTATATACAAATTAATTAATTTTTTTTTTATTTATATTTTTCAACAATTTCAATTTTTATTTATTTTATCCGAATGCAAATGCTTGGATTTTATATTATTGAATCAGACATTTATTACCATAATTAATTGCACGTTCGGAAATTGTTTGATTCAAAAATGTAATTTGTATCAATTGAAATTTTTAGCATATATTAGCCAGTTGAAAATAAATACTTTCATTCGCGAATATTTTCGCACGTTAAAAATTAATGTAATTTAATTTACATAATTTGACAATTATCGATTAAGTATTTACTTGTGTTTAATTATTTATTTTAATTAATTATTTATTATTTAATTGTTTTAATAAAAAAAAAATAGAAAAATATTTATTTGATAATAATATGGAATATTTACGGTTTAACAATTTACAAATTGGTAAGGTTATGTCAACTGTATTTGAAAAAAAATTTTAATTGCTTTGCATTGTTATTTTAAATCAATTAAAATATTACTACTATACTATAAAATAATAAGTCATTTATTTGATTGAAAGGTTTCTACTCAAAATTAGTCCAAAATTTACAAAATAATTTTAAAAAAATTAATAATTATTTCTGAACAATTAAATATGATATTAAAACCATTAAAAATTTGTTAGCAATTACTAAAAATTAAAAAATTAATTGTAAATAATTGTAATAATTGCTAATAAAAATTTTGAATTGAATTACCGAAATCAATGAAATTTTGTTTAAAATAAAAAATTAATTTTGGAAAAAAACTAATCATCTGCTAAATTATTAGTTTCCCAAATTAATTACCAGTAAATATTAAATATTTAGTAAAAGAAACCATAACTAATTAGCAAATTAATGAACGCGTTTTTATCATAATTACATTCAGAATAATTATTCAAATCCATCAAATGAATAATTAATCATATTTTACTAACAATTAGTCAGTTTAAATTAATTATCAAAATGAAAAGTCATCTATAATTTAGCTGAGTAATTAGTCAATTTTGACAAATTCAGAATTCGAGAATCTATAGAAACACTATATATATATACCCAGTACATATATACATGTAAACAAAGAATCTGCGAGAAAATAAAATTTTTTCTTACCTAGACAACATATTGAGTCATTCCTTTTTGGTATTACAAAAAAGTTTATAATAATCTACTTTCTATACACCCTAACGATTCTTCACTCCAATGATGGTACCAATTATAACACACAGGTGAAAAAAAAAACAAAAATTAAAAATAGAAGTCCTCGCAAATAATCACAAAAATTCTTTCAATTTATTACAATATATAATATACTGTCTCACTTCGCGACTCACCAACTATTAAAGAAACCAAAATAATAAAAAATCTCCCGCGCTAAGAACGATCTCCCCTCTCCATTTTTCTTGACATTCGATTTGATTCAGAGCAATTCTCTCTCTCTCTCCTTTCTTCTCAGTGTTTTTATTTCTTTATCTCTTTTTTTTCCGCTTGACTTTAGTGCAAAATTTATGACACGCGTTTATATTAAGACACTATTTTTTTCTTTTTATAGACACAATTGTGTTACACATGCAGAGTGTCGCGAACTTCCTGTACCGGCTTCTCTTTACACCAGAGGTCCTTGGTCCTGCGATCCGCAGGTGGCGCCTATTTCCAAGGTCAAACCCCCCCAATGTCATCCCACAACCCCCCACGCCATGTTAACGATTCAAAATCCGTTTTTTTATTTATTTGTCTCTTTTGTTGCGATAATGTCACGCAATGAAGATAACAGGACAATAAAGAAGACACGATAATAAAAAAAAAAAAATACGACAGAAAGTAAAACGTCACTTCCGCACGTCACTGGAAGAGATAAAAAAAAGAGAGATGAGATTAAAGTGTATACAAAAAGAATTGAGATGCACTCGGAGAAATCAGAGATTCATTTTCTGTCTGGATTTTAAATGACAGGATCCTCGTTGGTGGGCCCCCCTTTTTTAAAAGGGCTCACGAAATTTTTTTTTTGAATCTTTTTTTCGCGCAGTTCTTTTTTTTGGAGAAAGGACCCTTCTCACAAAGATGAAATGATTCGAATGGAGAATTATTTTTTTTTTTTTTTGAATTCTCAAGAAGACAATTTTGGAGAACGAGCTGCGTCGGCTCGCGTGGCAATCGTCCACGGCGGTGGATTCAAATTCATTCGCACGTGGCGACGACCGTGTCGCGCTAGCGACTGCCGGCGACCCGACGCCCGGCACCGGGTCGGGCGTCTCCATCTCGCGGTTGTCCCACCAACTCTCTCTATTCCCGACGATCACGACGACGATGGGATCCGGGATCCGGCTTAAGAAATCTCTTTAGGTGAAAACCAGCTCCAGGAATCACTGATGCATATCAGTGGCGGAAATCTCGAGTCAAGAGTAGGAGAAAGAGAGAGAGAATGAGAGATGAGGCCATCGCTTCTGGCTAAAAAGAGAGAAAGAGAGAGAGAGAGACTAACTTGCGGTCTTAAGGGTCTTTAGGAGATTTAAGGATGTGGGGGTGTCCCGTAAATCAGAGGAAGGCCCAAGGGGCCTTTGCGAGAAACGTATGTTTAATTTGAGAATATAGGAATAAGAAGCGAATTCGGAAAATTTTTTTGTTTTTGATTTATTTATAGATTTGGGAGAAAAAATCAGGCAACAGGTATATATATATATATATAAAGATCGAGAAAGATACTACTTTTTTTTTTCTAGAATCGATAAGTTTCTAAATGAGAGAACCAATAATCAAAGAACGATTCTGTGAATTATTGAACACTTAATTGGAAGTTATAATAGATAATAGATTTTTAGGTCGCGGCTAAAAACGATCAATTTCACAAGTTTTCCCTGTCAAAATACAATTGCAAAGTGTTCTCGCTTTAACGTTGATTTCTAATTATTAATTCATATTCTGTAAGAAATTTATGTCCGAAATTATTAACTATTCTCAAGATTGCTTTCTACTTTAAGAAGCTCTCATTTCTAAATAAAATTTGTCCTATATTTTTCAATGTACTGTCACAGAAAGTAAATTTGATTTAAAAATAATGTAAAAAATAATAATTAAAAAACTCACCGATAGGTGAATTCTACGATGCAGCAAATACATTGTTCCTTCCTGTTCCTTTTGGGCCTTTTCCTGAAGATATTTTAGAGTAGGTTGTGAAAAAAAAACTGCTGGAATTGCTTTTTTGAATCACATCTTTTTTTGTCTTTTAAGTTCAGGAACTAAAAATAATGAAAAATTTATTAGTAAATACAAAAAATTAACTGGTAAAATGATATCTACACGGAGAAAAATGGAAAAACGAATAAAGTAACTTTTACTATACTTTAAAATTAAAATTGGAACTCTTGAATTAGTAAAAATTATTCCGGACATAGTAAATTTTACTATTACTAGAGTAAAAATTGACAGAAATGCGCAAAAACTGCAGACAGTTCAGATTTTATTTTTAAAGTACAGTAAAAGTTACTTTATTCGTTTTTCCATTTTTCTCCGTGTATTAATTAGAAGAAAAATATTTTTATTCACTGAAAATAATATATTTAATTCAAAATAATAATCGTTTACTTGACAATTATCAAATAAATATTTATTTGGATTAACTAATTATTATTTGAGTAAATTAAATGATATTTAATTGAAGCAAAAATAGCATAAAATAAATTAGAAATAATCAAAAATTAGAATTCCAAATATGTAAAAAAAAGCATTATATCTTCTTAACTAAATTCCAGACCTTTATCACGATGTTCATGAATTAATTAACTTGAAATAAAGCGGAAGATGTACAATCGAACGCGGATGTGACGAATTCGTACGTTCTGATGATAATAATAATAAGCTACTTGTGCTTTCCTGTCTCTCAACTTCGTAATATTACATTAGATAACATTTTTAGAATTCGAATTTAGATTTAGAATTATCTTAGAAAAAAGATCTAAACTTTTTGTCTTGAACAATTTTGCGAACAATTGTTCTAATACAGAAACGATAAGGAATTATCTCATAAGACCTATTAATTACAAACACAATCTTGCTATCATTTTTTAACCCCTACACTGAAAAAAAAATTTATTTGATTCAAATACTCGATTACTTGAGTATTATCAAATAAATATTTATTTGAACCAAATAATTTTTATTTGAATTAAATAAATTGCATTTGAACCAATAATTTCTGTATTTGAAACAAATACCATTTAATTGACACAAATAATAATTATTTGATACAAATAAATATTTATTTGATAATAGTCAAGTAATCGAGTATTTGAATCGAATAAATTTTTTTTTCAGTATATATTTCCCTAATGTAAAAAAATTGATATTACCTTATACTAAATTAATTAACTTATATTAATAAACATGTTATCCTTAAAGGGTTAATTAAAATAAAATAATTCACTAAATTTGGGATTGAAAATAAAAACATAATTGGAGAATAATTGAAAACAGTTAATATTGACAAATTTATGAAATTATAATTAATATTCGAAATAGTTGGGATGTAAATAACTTTGATATTGGAATAGTCTATAGTTAGGAACAATGCAGTGAACCAAAGCACGAGAGGAGTGTCTATAATTCCAAACCTTTGACATAATTAGCTGAAGGACTGACTCTATTTAGGATTAAATGCCATTTCCTCCGGAAATATAAGATTTTTGAATAAATTTTCCATGAATTTTTATTAATCATATAACGCGATGGATATATATCAATGTCAACATTATAATATGAAATGATATTAATTTCAAAAAAAAAAAATCAATATTATCAGAAATTACACTAGCCATCCTGTCTGCTTATCATAGAATATGATTGTAATTAGATTATCTGAAATGTTTCCAAAGATAACAAAAATATTATTATTTCTGAAAAAATATTTTTTTCCAAATGATAATTCTACAAATAATAACTGGTTATTTCTTTCAACAACTTAATTAAAATCCGTATAATAAAACTAATCTTCTCTATATACAGGTAGTAAAAATTAAAAGGTAGCAATTTAATTAACACGATAGTGATTTTATATTATGAACGCTTCCTGCGAAGGCTTGTAACTTCAAAGACGCGGTACATACAAGCCAACATATAAATCGATATGATTCTGATTCTATTTTTATTTTTTGATTATTTCATTTTAGCACGAGATGCATTATAATTATTATCGAAGATCGTACAAAAATACTTTCGATGTAAATCATTGGCTAGTTATAACTGAAACCCTTTTAAAAACAAGTTTTCTGTGTTGGGACTATACATTTAGACACTGGACACTGTCGACCATGTGCGCATATACAGCCTTCATTAGTGCTGGCTTATATTAGCTCTACGTGCGGTAACATTTAACAGTGACAAGAGGAAATTAAATGTAATTACAAAATCATACCTCTGTGAACGAAATTCCACGTCTTGGGGAAAAATGGAGATTTAAAAGCGTTCTCTCACTGCAACGACGACGTCTCTCCATTTAAAGATGCTTTGTATGCTGAAAAAAAAAGAAGTTGGTTTCTTATTTTATGAAATAAAAAAATTTTCTTCATTGAAATATAAACCAGGTATAAAATATTCAAACACGAATCATGTATTTAACATTTTATTATTATATCTTTCATGATTGGGAATGAAATGATTTTGTCATTTATTGCATCAAATTAAAAGAAACCGGATTTTTAAATAATTTACTTTTTAAGAAATAGTAAATTTTACCGAATTTTTAAGTAAACCCCCTAAAGATTTCGAGTTTTTTTTGAATTTGTATTTTTACAAAACAGGTTGCAAATAGAGGTCTCTTTTTAGTTAAAGTGTGAAGAAACATCGGTGGAGAATGTCGACGTTAATTGAAATTGCAGAATGGCCAAGCGAATACCTACAACGTACAACGGCTGCTGTTCGCGAGTTTACGTCCCCCCGGTAATTTAACTTTGCGTTAAGCGAAGCGACAAAATGTTTGTTGTTTTGTGTTGCCATCGCGAATCTTCTGGTGCGAGCTCATAAATGACGCCATCACGAATTCAGATGAACTACGGAATTCGTAACTTCACAAATTCCAAATTCTATAGAAATGAGAAACTCTCGTATATAAACACAAAACAATTTTCACTCTCATATATTTTCCAAAGGTATATAATAATCTCCAACTTTTACAATTTTATATATATAGAGAAAAATTAAACACACTAAATTAGAAATATAATTTTATATGAAAAAAGCAATTTTTTAAAAAATTCTTATTTATATGCAGATATGCAATTATTACTCCTACAGTGAATTTTATCAAGTTTCGTCACACAGATTAGCGCCATACAGATTGGATAATAAAACGGAAATAAATTCTTGAGAATATTTATAATTTTTTTTTTTTTGTGGAAATAAAATTAGTCACCCTTTTAAAATAAGATGTATAATAACTATGATCAAACACGTTCAAGATTATTTATAACGTAATTTTTACTATTACTTTACGACGTCAGTGCAAACAATGACAAATTGCCTCAATTATTCAATGAGAAAAAGGGAAAATGTATTTTATTCAAAAAGTAGGTCTAGGTCATTTAATGAGTTTTTTAAATTGTTCCTATTCCTGAAATGATCATGTCTCATGAATGCTTCAAGGGATTATTATAAACAAATACGATTCATGGAATGTTATTACGAGACTACAAAATACACATATGTGTAATATGTTTATTATTATAGTACAATCACTGTACTAAGGTTAGAAGGTTATCTATAAATGAGAAAATTTTTACAACCTATATCAAATAGACCTTTGATGCAGACAATATATTTTTCAGCGGTATTATAAAAATTGATACAAAAAAAAATTCTATACAACTGAAACTATTTTTTTAAATTAATATATACATTGATTTTATTTACAGAAATTATTTTTCTGCATTTTATTATAAAAAAATTATTATAATAATAAATAAAAGTGATTTGCAATATATGTAAACATACAGAAGCACTGTATAAAGATGAAGATTATTTACACTTATTTTCTTATGATGAAGTAAGATCTTATTTAATAAAGAGAAATCAATTTAGATTGTGTTTGTTACACTCAGAAAGATTTAGTGTTCTTTGTAAAACATTGAGGTGCGGTCTTATAATATATTCAAAGTGTTCATTCATCGCGTTGTGTTCACATTAAACAAGATTTGTCTCAGGCAGAATTGCTTGTTTGCATATTAAATATTTATTCAACAGAAATTATATTTTACAATTTTCATGCACAATGACTTTATATCTATATTATTTTCGAAATTAATTACTATGTTTACAGAGTAATGTTTTTTTTCTTAATTTAAAAATTAAAATAATATACACAAATTATTTTAATAATTAATTTAATCTCTATATTTAAATGAGAGATTCAGAAATTTTAAAAATAATTTTTTCTTTAAAAAAATATTTCGTATAAAAATAGTCATAAAATTAAAAGCAATCTGAATTAATAAATTTTAAATTTGAATCAGAGCTTTTAGTACGAATTAATTAAATACTGCTATTAATTACAATGAAAAAACGCCAATTACAATTAAATTTTTTTTTACTAATTCAGAGTATCATATCTTTCTGGTGTGTTCAAATATTAAAATATAATGCGCATTCTGATGGAGTTTTCATCAACTTTATTGAAGGAAACTATTAAAAGAAAACTGCATTATCAACTTCAATATTTAAACAAAAATCGAATATTTTCATGAAGAAATCTATATTACCAGTAGTAGTTACTTCAACTAAATATTTAATTTGAAAATATGAAATATGAAAAATATTTTCGAATTTTATATCATTTTTCTCTTCTTTTTCAATTCGTATTAATTTTTCATAAAAAGAAAATTCGCATTTGTGACAGGAAAGTAACAATACAATTTTAAATGCTTTAGTAATTAATATTGTGTGACATTTTTTTATAAAAAGGTGATTGCGGCCTAATACTACTTAATATATTTGTCGATAAACCATTTCGTATTCTGTCTTCTTGATTTCTTAATAGTGCTCTCGTATGTGGATAATCAGTCAAAAAAAGTTCTCCACGTCCATAAAGAAACATTACTGCTCGTTTCGCTTGTTCGCCAGTTAAAAGATAAGGATCCGGATATTCTAAAAATGAAAATAATAATAAATTTTAATATAAAATATTATGTACCAAATTTTTTTTTATTCATTTCTTTTAAAATAATTTATTTTTTAATTAAATTTAATTAAAATAATTTCATTTTCTATATATAGTAATAAATAAAATTACGAGTTCCATCTGAAAAATCTGGTGTTCTTTGTCCGGATTCTTGTGAACTATATCCGAGATCATTTATATTTGTTGGCGGTTGAAAAACTCCTTGTGGCCATAAAAATTCAGCACTTCCGGGTTTTATATTATTAGGACGTTCTTCTACATAAAGTCGATTGCTATGTATTCCATTCGTTTGAATTCGATCGCCTGAAAGGATTAAGACTAATTAAATTTTTAATATTAAATAATTTCCTAATTAAATAAATAGTTTATTATTTTATTTTGATGTAATATAAGAATAGAAAGATGTAAACCGGAAGTTCGTCCGAAACCGAAAGATGTGGACTATGAATAAATAATAATAATAATAAAATAGTTTATTATTCTAATTAAAAATTAATTGCAATTATTGTAACTTTTGCAATTTCAAATTAATTATTTTCATGTGAATTTAGATTATTAAATTTCATTTACTTTAATTTAAATTTAATTAAACATTAAAATGAAGTCAACTTAATAAATAATTAATACAAACCGAATTTTCGTGGACTTCTTCGCCCAATAGAAAGAAATGACTTTTGCATTAACGTAGTTCCTCCTAAAAAAAAAATTATTCAAATTATTATTTTTTTAAAAATATTTTTTTTGTAATCGATTTCTATTATTTATCTGACAATATGTACATACCATCTGTTACATATCCATGTTCGAATGTGTGAGGAGGTGAGACAAATTTTAAATGAACACTGGCAAGTGAAGCTGCTTCAATGGCTGTCAATGTCAAAATAAGTGATATTAGCCTTAGCTGTAAAAAAATTATAAACAATTAGAACATATTTTTTAAATAATAATTTATTTTAAATATATATATACTAATCTACTTACTTTTAAATATTTTTAAAAAATAGTGTTCGGTAGCATGAATTTTTTGTTTAAATAAATTTATGAATAGAAAATTTCTAATTATATTTTTTTAAATGATTAACATCAAAATAAAAACTCATTTTATAGATTCTGATTGGTATACTCTTTTTTCAATGTTTAAAATGTAGGTGAAGGTGGACACAATACAGAAACGACCCTTTATCTAAAAAGTGTATCTTGAGCTATTAAGATCCGGTTGTCGCGTAATGACTATGAATATTTTAAAACAGACTAACAAAAAAAAAATTTAGCAGAGAAATCTTGACAAGGTCAAAGGTGGATTTGACTGACATTGCATTTTTTTAAAATGAAAGAAAATGAAAGTATATTACAACAACAAAATTAACCCAATTCGTTTTTATATAAACCTAATATTGTTTTGTAATTTTTTATTATTAATTAATTAATATAAAAAATTATATAATAATTAATTAATTAATATAAAAAACCAATAAGTATCACAAAATTAATAACAGAATCGGCAAAATTAAATTAGCCTTAATAAGAAAAAATAGGATTATACCAAAAACTAGAAAACAGTTTCCGATAAAAAGGGTTGTTAAAAAAAAAGGGAGAGAAATTGACACAGCAGACAATGAACCGTGAAATGAAGTAATTTTTTCTAATTGTCTCATTGATATATAGAACCCCAATGTTCAAACAAAATACTATCACGGGAAAATATAACGAAAGCACTCGTTAGATTGAGCTCTTAAAGTATTATATACAATATAATGAAGATAAATAGGATTTTACATGCGTGTCCATAAACTGAAGTCCCGTGGGGAAAATTGGATCACATATATGTGACTGCTGCGAATCGAAGTGGATGGTTTCAAAGCAAAACTAAATTCTAGAGGCAATATAGGATGTTTTGTTTGTATATGTATCAGTATATACACGCGATGCTGTCCAGGTTGCACCAACACGTCGTATAAATTTATTGAAGTTAGAAGTGAGGCAACAGAGTCACGGGTTTTAAACTGACTATAAACCGCACAAGAATCATGTGACTGCATCTCTCATCGTGAAACTCGATCATATATGAGGACGTGTGCACATGAAACTAATGTTGTTGTACTTCAAACAACACATGCAAAAACCAACTTTCATCCTCTTTATTGCGAGTCAACTTCTCTCTTTTAATATATACATATATATATCTAATATGCGTGTCAATTTATTAAAACGTTTCATCATTTTTCATCAGAATCAATCTTAAAATTATTGCTCAAGTTTCTATATATAATATACAACTGTGCGATAGTAAAGGAAAATTTTCAAAATAGTATATCAAAATTTTTGTGCACCATGTTTAGTTGAATAGTTGCTAAACATTTTTAGTGACTGATATGTACAATTTAATAAATCGTCTCTAATATGGTCTTTTTGGAAGATATCTATATATGTGTTGATTTCATAATGATTCACGTTCGTAATGACCGCAAATGTATTTCATAAGTATTACAAAGTGATGAAATAATTGCATAAAATGTAAAAAAAAAAAAAAAAAAATTAAGTGACGATGTGGATTTCTAACTCCTACACATACATTCTATTTCCTCTTTTATTCTTTCGCCAATTTAAAGCAAACACTTAACTTGATGAACTTACAATAAGTAAATTTATCTTTATGCTTTTCTCTCAATCTGGATTTTCATCAAACCTATTAGTAAACGTTTTCATCATCCTTAACGATATTGAACATTATTTTTAATAATTTATTTCGAAAATTTGAAAACTGAAAATTACTCAAAAACATTTCCAAAACAAAATTGTGATTCTGAATATTTTCACAGAAAATTAAAAGGCATTAAAATAAGCTGCAACGCTTCTTATTTTAATCCAATTTTGCTTATTTTAATACCAAAATGGATTAAAATAAGCAAAATTGAATTAAAATAATAAGCGTTGCAGCTTATTTTAATACCTTTTAATTTTTTGTGATAATAACTAATGCCATAGTAACTAACTGTTACCACAGTAACTAATTCCACAGTAACTAATTCCACAGTAACTAATGCCACAGTAACTAATGCCACAGTAACTAATGCCACAGTAACTAATGCCACAGTAACTAATGCCACAGTAACTAATGCCACAGTAACTAATGCCACAGTAACTAATGCCACAGTAACTAATGCCACAGTAACTAATGCCACAGTAACTAATGCCACAGTAACTAATGCCACAGTAACTAATGTCATCACATAAAATTAAAAGGCATTAAAATAAGCTGCAACGCTTATTATTTTAATTCAATTTTGCTTATTTTAATACCAAAATGGATTAAAATAAGCAAAATTGGATTAAAATAATAAACTTATTTTAATACCTTTTAATTTTCTGTGTTATTTTGACCTCTTTGGATTTACAAAATTCTTCTTTTTCAAAGATCAGAATGACAAGTAAAGAAATATTTGGTAATATTAAATTTTATGATTCCATTAATGACAACATGCGTACGTGCTATATAATTTTCCATATAGTGTTATACACGGTTCAAGGGTCAAATTCCAGTTTTATTTGACACTATATATACCTTGACATTTTGTCGACACAAAGCAGAGAACTTCTTTTATTGCGTACAATGAAAATGCATTCATGCTCGTGATGTTCACATTTATGCACTTAGGAATGCGCATTTATTGCATGTATATATATATGTATCTCTCAAGATTAAGTATGTAATACCTTTCTTTGGAACTCGACATAGTAATTTATCTAGCCATAGAGTTAAAATATATTTTTAAAGCCCAAATCAATTATTTAAATTTGTACCACCCCTCTTTTTTATTTTTTTAACTAATAACTTATTATCCCTGAATTAAATTTCAATAAAATGAAAAATTAAATAATAAAATAGAAATTTTTTAAAAATATTAATCTAACGTAACAATGAAACAAATTTGATAACCTTTTCATAAATAAACTCATTATAATATTTTGACAGTTGCTTATTCAATGGGATAATTTATATTTTCATTCGATTAATACCTATTCGCGTGGAACGTGAATCTCCCGATTGTAACATATATTTATGGTTCACTAGTCTCGTTTGTCTGCGATTAGCTAATTGCTACAGAGGAAGATTACTGATGGCATTCCTGCGCTGTTATAGTTCATGACTTTATTGCCCAAATCATTAATTAGTTAATAAGAAAAAATTTAATCAACTATTTCTAATAGTTGAAATATTTTAAAAAATATTTTGTAAATTACATTTAAAAATTAATTTTTTTGCTAATGATCGTTAAATGAAAAATAAAATTTATAGATTTACAATATAAAATGATTAATATGAATGAACTGAGGGATTAATCGTATACTGTTTTTTTTTAAATAGATATAAAAATTATGACATTGTTTTGAGAGTATTTTAAAACTTTTATCACGGTTCTTAAAACACTAGTTTGGACTTTTATGAGGTGAGGCTTTAAGAAGATATTACCCTCGTACTTTCGTCACGAACAACTATACCAGCGAAATGCACGACAAAGTAAGCGTTCAGAAGCGAAAGGACTTAATGCAAGTACTATCCGGCAGTGATCCATAAATCTCACGTGCTTCTGACATAACGTGTGCCATGTCGGCTGTCGTTTATTTCGTGATGCTTCTAATTAGCCTTTTCCAATTTTGTTTTCACAAAATTTCACAATATTTTGGCAATTTTTTTTTTTTTTAAAGATAATTCATTTTCAAAAAATAGTAAAAAATTCAAAATTTCTTAACTAAACCAATTTTTCTCATTATATACTCAAAAAATTATTTTATTCCAAATAATCGATTAGTTGTCAAAAAAAAGTTATTAAAAAATAAATATTTATAAAAAATAATAATTATCAAATATTTGTTAGAAATAATAATGAAATATTGCTTTAAAAATTAATTAAAAAATTCCTGTTCCAAAATATAATTAGAGAAAAATTAGAAATCTAAGATGTTACAAAGAAATTTTTTGGTTTGAAATAAAATAATTTTCTTTTTCCCATATAAAAGTTACGTAAAAAAAAAATAATTTACGAATAAAACTAGACATCGGTATGATTAAGGATTACATATGAAATTCATTGCTTTGTTGCAAGACAGAAACTAGAATTAGTGGGAGTATAGTTAAATGTTGCAAATGTTGTGTATATATTCTTTGGTCATTTCACTCTCATTCCCTTCACCGTATTATATATCCTTCTAATTGTATCATTTTCAAATCAAGTAAACTTTTTTTTAGATAAAATTACACTATAGAAAAAAAAAAAAAAATTGTCAAACAATCAAATTTCACTTTCAAAAAGGTTATCAAAAAAAAAAATTCACTGTGAAAAAAATTAACCCTTTTTTCGATTTCATTCTTTCTAATAAAATAGCAAATGGAATATATTTAATTTCTTTGTTAAGAAACAAAATAATTGAGAAATCGCTTAATTAAGAGCAAGTAATTTAATATTAGAATCCGAATCAAATTAATTTTTCATTTCTAATTAATTTTGTGAATACAAAAAAAAAAAGAATTACAGATAAGATTCACACGATAATCTATATACAAAATGTTCTTAATTTATGATTAATAACTATATAAAAGGAGCAAGAAGTATATCGTTAAGCGAAAATACAACGCCAATTAGCTATTCTTGCGTATCTTAATAATCGCGTGTCGATTAACTTGTAATTATCTAATTTCCCAATACATTATTGCCACAAAATAAGAAATATATTCTTGAAATTCCAGGGATAATTAAATCACGATGATCAATTTAAAAAAAAAAATTACACTATTATATCAATTCTTTTTTTAAATAGAAAAATTAAAATACAATTTTTACTCTAGATTTAATGCAAAATTAAATATTTCTTTAAAAAAAATAAATTTTGTTAAAAAATTGTTTCTTTAAAACAAATTTTTTTTTTTTTTTTTTTAATTAATTCTAATGAAATAATTTATTTCGAAATTTCAGGTAGAATAATTTTTCGACTAATGTTAAAGAAACTTAAATGATATTATTTACAACAAGTTTTTCCTGAGAAACTACGATCTGAAGTAACATATCACGAGTTTATTGTCTGAACCTGAGGGTAAATGAGTACTGCATTTAGTGTAACGATAAAGTATAGATCACCACGCATGTATTACCGGGCTGCGCCGATGAGAATTATATTGTAATACCTAACTTGCTATCGGGCAATTGTACCGAGACGATCAATCACTGAGTGAAAGTACATAAAGTCACGAGGTACATCAGTATTTACTGATATGTTTACGAATGAATGAGCAATTAATAATTAGGTTAATTTCCAATCATTTGTTAATGAACATTCTGTTTATAATATTTTTCTCGCAATTCAAAATAGTCGTAGAATTTATATTTAAAAAAACTATTTTGTTTTCTTTATTTATTAAAATAATAAACAAAATTATTGTTAAAATTTTATTTGAAAAATTAAATAAAATAAAAAATAAATAAAAATTAAATTGTTTGTTTGTTTCAATTTTATATTTCAATAAAATTTGAAAATTGTAATTAAATAAATTAAAGTGGAATAAACATTATATAGTAAATAATAATTTTAAAAATTATTTTAATAGTTATTTGATAATAATATTGTATTCAATATTTATCCAATTGATATTATTCTAATTTAATTTTAATATTTTATTACGTTTGTATTAATTTCAAAAATAAATTTCATTTAACTCAGTTCTTAATCGTCGGATAATTTTTATAAAAGCGAAAAAAATTTGTTACAAAACTTCCTTTTTTTTAAACAATTTTCAAAAATTAAACATTGTAAAAATTTTCATAAAACGAATAAATTTCATTAAACCGAACACCATTTTTATCACGTAAAAAAGAAATAAATATTTTGATTTTGTTAATTATATAATATTATACACTTTAAATATTAAAAATATTGCAAAGTCAAATCATATTTTTACTTACTATAAACATTCTGAAGTCTTAAAATCTCTAGACAATTTTGGCACATACACACTTTGTTTTTGTGTTGAATCCAATCACTAAATTAAAATATTTTTGACCCCATTGATAAAAAAAAAATTAAACTAATTTAAAATATTATATATATATATATATATATGAATATTATCCGATGAGTTTCGGTCTCGAAAGGGATCTGATCTAGTTAGGATGTCTAAGGAGAATGTCATGATGCTTGGGACCTAACAACTCCCTTCTCAAAGTACCCCACTTGAATCTTGAAATTTCAAGGAGGTTTCAAGGAGAATTTGATAAAAAAAATACCTTTCTTCCGGAAGTAATAAAAAAAATAAATATTTTGGCAAATAATACAAAAAAAATTTCAAATAAAGAAATAATTCTTTTGTTTGATTAAATCTTAAAACTTGAAAATTATACATTTTCATTTACCTTAATGATGAATTCTCAGCTTCAAGAAGATTTTTTCAAACTAAATAGCCCTCGGAGATCCCTACTTTCAAGTTAAATTTCCATTTAGAAAATGTGAAAAATAACTGTCAAAATAGACCGAGTTCTAAAAAGTCTGAAACTGGAGAATATGGTGAATTCTGTGTCCTTGAAGATAAGATACCCTTTTTTCCTTTGCCCTTATCTTTGAAGGACGTGACACCGCACTGGCCATCGAGGATAGAATCTGCAAAAAAATATTAAAGTGGAGTCTGTATTTATTACACGGACGGAGAATTTTGAGCGTGACTTCTTTTTTAATTAATTAAAATATATTTTATACGATTCTTATTTAGTATTTATTTTATACTTAAACACACTGAAAAAAAATTTGATTCAAATATTTGATTACTTGACTATTATCAAGTAAATATTTACTTGAACCAAATAATTTTTATTTGAATTAAATAAATTGTTTTTGAACCAATAATTTTTGTATTTGAAACAAATATCATTTAATTGATACAAATAATAATTATTTGATACAAATAAATAATTATTTGATAGAAATAAATATTTATTTGATAAAAATCAAGTAACTGATTATTTTAATCAAAAAAATGTTTTTTTCAGTTCATAAAATTAGAATAAACTGACAATAATTTCCAAATTTTTAACAGGAGTTGATGAAACTCTCTGAGAAGTTGTCACGTCAAAAAATATTTGCTCGAAAATTATAAATTAATTAATTCTTATGAAAGAATTGATTTTTTCTAGAAGTAATCTTATTTTTTAAATATAAAAAATGAAAATATAATATTTTTGATATATAAAATGACTCATGCAATTGATGGTATTATTAAGTAAAATTTTGTGATTGCTTTCATTATTTTTATTTTATTTAGGTTGCTATAGACAAATTATATAATTATTAACAAATTTTCTTAAGACAAATATGTATAACCTAAAAATGGTTTGCAAAAAATTTTTATACTTTTTTGTTTCACTTTCTGTAAAATTGACTAATTTTAAAAATTATTTGATAATTTTTGCAATCACAAAATTTTTCTTTTTTTTAACATTATTTATTCATCGTGTCCAGTATAAAAAAAATAAATTTTACCTTTTTATATCCTGGAATGATGGGATTTTCGTCAAAAAACTGATAGGGTGAAACAATAGACTTCGATGAATGACGATAAACAACAACAAAGAAAATGGAGGAAGTTGAGAAAATTGTCAATTTTCTATTTTATTCCACTAGAGGACGTTTATTCTATTTATTGAACCAATCTATTAAAAGAACAAAAAATCGATATATCTTTTCTGGTCTTATTTTTTGAGATTTTGTGATTGAAATTGCTATTTAATTTAATGAAACACTATTTTTTTCCATTACATGCAAACATAACCTACAATTGCAATTTTTGGAAAAAATTGTTGTTTTCTATAAAATAATCAACAATTATTTAATAATTCATTTTAAAAAGTAACTTTTTAAATATTTCAAACATAATTAAATCGTAAATCACAAAAATAGCACAAAAATTCCGACTTATCGAGTTAGGGTCGTTGGCGTAATTTTCACCATTTTACAAAAAAATACAAATTATGATTCAAAATCAGAAAATTTTAATTTTTATCATTATTTATTCATCATGTTTAGCAAAAAACGATTAATTTTACCTTTTATAGTCCAACACCAGATGAATTTCGTCAAAAATAATAAAAAAACGATGAGCTGCAAACGACAGGGGAATCCATAATCCATGACGTCTCAACAAAATGGCGGCAATTTTCATTCGTTCCTATTATTACAACCAGAGGGCGCAATTGCATGATTATTTAATGATGCCGTTATAAACGCAAAAATGATGGATAAATTAGATGAAATAAATCATTTTATAATTAATTTCAATTTACTTTAAGAAGAATATATCTTAACAAATTCTTTGGTTATTACAATTAAAATAACCTACAAATGCAACATTTCAAAAATATTTTTTTTTCTCAAATTTATACTTTTTTTGTAAAATAATCAACATTTATTATAGAATGAATGTAAAATAAACAATATTTATTATAGAATGAATATAAAAAATAATTTAGACAATTAATTAATAACTTTTAAACATAATTAAATCGTAAATAACAAGAAAATATTCTCATCGTTGTATAGCGAGAATTTCAATTTTTCGATGTACTTATATAAAACTACAAATTCCAATACACAATCAAAATTTTTTATTTTTCCACACTAATTATTCATTGTATTTAGTAGAAAATGATAATTTATACCTTTTATAGCCGGAAATAAGGTGGATCTCTGCAATCATTGGAATGGATCATCTCAGCTGCAAAGACGACAGGCGAATGCAACAATTTAGCAATATGGCGGACATGAACGAGCGGTTTACCGCCAAAATGAACTTGCTTGAAAAAAATTTGTCCATTTTGCTACGTAATAACATTTCCGTCCACTAGATGACACTAGTGAATTCCGTACCGCTGAACCTAGTCCTGGCGATCAAAGTTCGCGGGCGGAAAAGTTTTGTTTATAATTGTAATTATATAAATTACAATTTAATTATAATTTCATAATATTGATTACTGTATTTAAATAAATATCATTTTCTCCTATAAATACAGAGTGTAAATTATGTAACACGTGACTGACACATGGCGATTTGTTAAACTTTATATTTGCCGTCAAAGAAAATGGCGAATTTAGAATGTAAAATTATATTTACGCATTGAATTTGCAATATTAACTTTACAGGTTAGTAAAACCTTTTTTATTATATTTATTTCACTGTAATTAATTAAAAATATTGTAATATTAAACTTAAGTGTTATTGTTTTGTTTTGATGAGAAAGAGAATTCTAACCTTAAAATGATATTTTTTATGACAAAAATTAAAAACAAATGACTTTAATCATTGTAATTTATTTAATTTTATCATTCAGTTGTTTTAATTTGGTTTAGAATTGTTTAATTATGCTAGATGTATTAGAGTAAATAAATTTATTAGAATATCGTTTTGACATTTCTGAGTTTACTTTGCATTTTTTCATTTTACTTTATTAATTATTTTTACAGCAATAAAATTATGTCATCACATATTAATGCAAAACCAGCAGATAATCGAAGAGTTAAACAAGGTGATTTTACTCTTTTAGAAGGATTAGAGGTATGTTATTCATATTTTTTTACTCTATGTTTTTTTTTGTGAATTTATGTAATTTGTATGTTAAACAATTGTTTTTACAAAATTACCAAGTAGAGAATATTTGTTATAAAAATAAATTCCAAATTTAAATTCGTATTTCAAATTTTAAAAATTCTTTTTTATTTAGGAATATCCTGAAGACTCTTTGGAATGTTTTTCAGTCTTTGTTAGAGATGATAGCTCTAATAATGACGATGTTCAAGAATTGGTACTTGGGGAACAAATTTTGGGAACCACATTAACTGCTATAACATTGCCTGATGGAAGTCAGGCATTCATCGCTGGAAATATTCAAGAAAATGGTATTCAATTTCTTCGAAAAAAATACTACAATACTTGACAAATATATTCTATTTGATTTTTAAAATTTTTATTACCAAAAATCGAATTGTTAATTTTAGATTTTATTATAATTTTTTATGTAAAAATTTATTTTATTTTATAGAATCTGAATCGAAGGATTCGCAAGAAACAGAGACAAGAGGGGCTATTTATTTAAAAGATGGAGAATTGTTACAAGTACAAATGGATCCCATGACATTTCTTGAAACGCAAACGGATAATACGAAAGACTCATATCCTCAGGTTCAAGTAATCAACGGCGCAACATATGTGCTGACTAGTCAATTTGATGAAGAAGTTTGGCAAATTGAAGATGGAAAATTAACAAAGAAAGATGAGGTTTTGTTAAATAAACGTGTAGTTCATAAATTTAGAGCACAACATCCTTGTCCCAGGGAAGGATGCACCAAAGTCTACAGTACTCTTCATCACTTGAAGGTTCAATTAATTAAATTTTATATATCTAAACATTTCATTTTTATTTTCATTGCTTTTAATGTAATTTTTCTTTTTTATTTATAAATAAAAAATTCTTTTGCAGGTCCACGAACGCTCGCACACTGGATACAAACCGTATAGATGTAATTATTCAAAATGTTCAAAGAGCTTTTCAACTGGTTACAGTCTAAAGGCACACGTACGAACACACACTGGCGAAAAACCATATGTTTGTGGATTTGATTCTTGTAATAAGAGATTTAAAACTTCGGGCGATTTATTAAAACACGGTAGGACTCACACTGGTGAACGTCCATTTGTTTGTCCTGTTGAAGGTTGTGGACGATCTTTTACTACCAGCAATATTCGAAAAGTGAGGAGAATTATTTTTCATAATAAATGTTATTCGAATTTTTCTTTTAAACTATTTTTTGGGGGATTTTTTTCAGGTACATGTGAGAACTCACACAGGTGAACGCCCATACAAATGTCCTGAACCCGAATGCGATAAAGCTTTTGCCAGTGCCACAAATTATAAAAATCATTTACGCATTCATTCTGGAGAGAAACCATATGTTTGTTCAATGAAAGATTGTGGAAGACGTTTTACGGAATATTCTAGTCTTTATAAACATCATTTGGTAAAATTTTGGCAATATTTAAAAACAATTTATAATGTAGCAACTTAAATGTGTTGAGAAAATATTTTTAAAGAACTGAAACAAAATTATTTTAAATATATTATTTAATTAAAATTCCTTTTTTAGGTTCATACACAACAGAGGCCTTTCGAATGTAAAATTTGTTACAGAAGATATCGTCAGAATAGCACTTTAATTATGCATAAAAGAACTGCTCACTCATTAGTGGAAACTGAGAATGGGACCGATATTTATTTAGAAACTACCTCAGAGTTGAATGATTCCACAAAACAAAGTGTAAGTTTTTTAAAATATTTCTATCTTACCACATAAATTTAAATTCAAAGAAAGAATCACATTTAATTTTAAACAATTTAAAATTTTTTGGATAATTTTTATTTATAAAAATAAATGTCCACATTTAATAAACAAAAAAAAATTCAATTTTAATGATCTGACCATAATTTAATTTCATTAGCATATTCACGTTAATAATTAATTTAAATAATAATTATCAGAATCTGATGTTGAGCAAAGCTGGGCAATTTCATTTTTCCGACGAATCCTCAGACAATGAGACGCAAATTCTTTTTGTCAGTGATCCAACGCAAATCGCTGCCTTACAGGTATAATAAAAAATTGAAATGAAATAATTAAAAAAAAAGAAACAAAAAAAATGTTTGATAATAAATTCAAATATTAATTATAGCAAATGGGAATGGAAGGGGGCTTCGGGGATTCTTCCATCGATACTTCTTTGGATTCTTCCTTAAACATAAAAATCGAGGACATTGGACTCGAATGGAACTAGGATTTGAAGCCATTTTTTTTTTGTAATAAAAAAAGAGAAAATATTGTGCATTATTAATTCCTAGTAATGTAAGGAAAAAAAGGCTGTATTAACTTTTATTAACGAAACTGCGTAGCGGTAAATATTTGAGTAGATTTTAAAATATCCATCTGCAGAGCATATAGGATTCTAGATCCATAAAATAATAATATTATTTTAATTTTTCTTTTTAATTACGCAGTACTTCTAGTTTTCTATGTAAACTAGCGAATCTTTAAATGAAAAGAAAATAAATTTGACAAAATTAAAGTTTTATATCAAATTCTTTTATTGAAATATCATTTGAATGTTTATTGTAAATAACAATCGTGTAATTATAAATTACTCGATTCCCTTTTACAATAATATATATTTGTTATTTATTAATATCGATTTATTATTTAAAATTTATTACTTAACTATTTGTTATTTAGTAATAATTGTTTTATTTTTTAAAGAAAACTAATAATTAAAAGCCTATTTTACGATTTTTAAAAATATTACTGCCCTTAAGATTGTTTTAAACAATTTTTAATTTCGTGAAATTTTGCAAATTTTATTAAAATTGTTACATTTCAGAAAAAAAGGCATCACATATTAAAACGGTATTGTAGTATTACCGCTATGCGTCAGAAACATGATAAAATAATACATTATATTATAAAAATACAATGAATTAATTTGTTGATAGCAAAAAAAGCTCGATTTACAGGAAGTAGAATCACAAGGTCAGAAACGTTAACGAAAACTTACTAAAAAGGTATCGGACAAAAAATGATCTTAATTTTTATAGAAATTAGTTTTCTTGTTAATTTCGAACATTTTATAATTTATAAAAATTTATTTACTATAAAAAAGTAAATTACAAAATTTCGTATATTTAGAAATATAAACTTAATTAAAGAATATAGAGGGAAAAATTAAGAAATATTTTTATTAATTTTTTAAATGTATTCTGCAATAATTTTTTTTTTATTATTGTTAGCTTGAAATGAAGATGAAATCAGCTTCTAAGGACCAATTTTTTATGCAGGAGATGTACCCGTGGCTCGTAGAAGTTCCGGCTTCCCGTTCTCCCACCATATCCGGAAGACCTTCCTCGATAGGAATAATATACTAAGCTCAACGTCGCGAAATAGTCTTCGTTCGGCCAAGTGCGGTGTATGGTTTCGATGTCGTGGATTGTTCCAAAAAAAAAATAAAAAAATGTTCGCCGACATCGTATCCTTTCAAATTAATTAATGATAAATATTTGAGCTTCTGACCGAAAATATAAAGATGTCACACTTCGTTATCGTATCGTCGATCATCTTTGTCATCATCATCATCATTGCTGCGACCACGTGTACCATTCCCACGAGGCACTGTATATTAAATTTTCACTTTGATAATCCGATCGAGAGTGAAAGATTTCTTGACAGAAAGATCGATAGAGCGCACCTGCCGAGATTTACAGTCGTTTCATAATTATTCCTGATCCTTAGGCCACAATGCAGGTAAGGATAAATAAATATATATTCAATTTGATGGACCATTCATAACATTTTCTAAATTTAGTCATATTTTTTCACGTTTTATATCATTGGGAATTCTGTTGTTTGTTGATTAAATTTTCTACTTTGTTTCAATTGTTACCAACTGTTATTCAAACTATTCAATCGTTACATTATCAATTGTTGTCAATCGTTTCAATTCGTTGAAATCTTTTAAAGACAAAAAATTCATTTATTTTTATTCATTTGAAAAAAATGAGGAAATTTAAAAATTAATATCGAGTTATTGAAAGAGAAAAAAAATTATCAAATTTTGATTTAATTGTTCTAAAGTGGGTCACTATTGACTTATTGCAAATTGAACGTCTGTAATAAAAATTCGTAATGATGAGAATTGATAATGAACTTGTTAGAAGAATTTATGTTATTATTTTTGCAAAAAAGAAATCTAACACTGTGAGAGATATCACAAAAGTCAAACTCGCAATGTATGAAGATGATAAGCCTCGGATATAAACCGCGTATTAAATGCCCACTGATTTCTGTACACACTAACAAACTGGGTCGTCTTATATGAACAAGATAGAAAAAGTATAATCTCTTTAATGAACCATCCAATTATTAAATTACGTGACACAAAAACTAAAACTCTTCAAAAAAAAAAAAATAAAAATGATTCTAATTAAAATTCCTTTATTTATTGGAATAAAAAAAAAATATTTCTTGAGTACCGGAATTTTTTCGACATCCTGTATATGTAAATTCATAAACGACGATTAATTAATTATTATCAGTGATGATGACCTTCATAATCTAAAGTTTGTTTATAATTTATTTTTCTCTAAAGCAACCTAGATCCAAAAATTTTAAACTGATACAAATTGTAGCTTTAATAAATTTGGTATTTAATAGTGAAAATCGTGATTTTTTTTTATTTTCTTCATTATTTTTTTTTATAAACTTAGAACTTTTTCTGCTGGAAAAACAAAAATTCCGTTGTTTTGTTTGAGGAATAATTTTGCTAACATAATTATTAACTTCTTTTTCTAGAAAGTTAAGCTATTTGTTGATAAAATAACGTAAAAAATATTCATAAAATAAAAAACAATATAATTTAATTATTTGTTATTTTTAATTAATAATTGTTTTTCTGATTTTTTTATGGTTTTAATTTTAAAAAAAAGGAGTTTAAATTTATTTGTCATGAATTGCGAGCATTTACACACTTATGTGATGATTAATTAATATTAATTTTCTTGCGAATTGTATATTGTTTCAAGCGTCGTAATAAATAAGAAAATTAACGATCATCTAAAGAAAATTTCATGACAGTTATTATCTAGAATATAAAAAATCATTGAAACAGTATATTTTTATTTAAAACCTACCAGAGACTAAAATTTTATTTTTCAAATAGAATATGTTTATATATATAAATTTATTACTTCTATACATGATTTATCGGACATAATTGTTTCATAATAATCGACCGTGACGATTTCTAAAGTGATTTCCTTTTACGAAAACTTAGGACATTGATTCGCTTCGTGTTAATAAATAATAATTTGCTATGCCGCGAATTATTCAATGAGAATCGTAATCATTTTTTTAAAGCCAAATTTGTAATTTCTATTAATCGTTATAAGAAATAAATAATTAAGTTACGAATTAGTTAATTAGATTTGAAATGTCAATTATCCTTTGGTCAAATTATCACTGATCAAATCGACTAATTATTGATTTAATTAATTACAATTTATATACAAGTGAGATTATTTTGTTTTTCTAAACTTGTTTTCAATTTGTCTTGAATTTGTTTTTAATACTTCTTTTTTGATTTTTAATTATCTTCGAGATATTTGAATCGAGGTTTATCTTCTTTTTACATTGAAATTCAATTTAATATTTTAATGGGTCATCACTTTCAGTGATCAGAAATCAAAGTTTTACATGAAATGATTTTTCATGGTCGTTTGATATTAGACAAATGTATTTCTAGCTATCTCGTGGTTTGCTTGACAAACAATTAGGTGAATTAGTGTAAATGAGACTAATAGAACCACCAACGCTATCGAGTTCTCGAACAGAAACTATAGTATAATACAAATTATAAACACACATATTTTATACATTAAATTTATATATATATTTTAAAATTCTTATCTCGTCTCTTAAAATTAATACAACACCTATATTCGAATTCACCTAATTTACTACAACCACATAAATCCTTCGAAATATGTAATAAAAAAACTAATTATTACCAGTTAAACTGATTCAGAATCTCTGTCATAAAAAATAAACGTTTCGTTAATTGAAAATCTTTAAAATGAAATAAAATTCTTAAATTACTGTAAAAAAAACCATAAATTTCTTAAAGTAAAAAAAATTATTGAAACAAAGTAAAAAAAAAGTAAACCATTTTCAAATACAAAAGGACGCGGGAATTTATTTTGAAAATAATTTTTTTTTTTAACAAAAAAGTCGAAATATGACTAAATGTAAAAAAATTAATCTCATTGTTGTATTTCTTTTATAGCTCTGAGCATTTCCAAATCTATTTGTCAAACTAATCTTTACTGAGAAATATTTAGGAAATAGAAGATTAAAAAAAAAAAAACGATATTTTTATGATAAATGGAGAACGCGGTTAAGAAGAATTTTTCGATGTTAACATTTATCGATGAAGTGCAAATAAGTAAAACATTCATACAAAAAAAAAACAAAGTTCGTGAACGTCAAATATTAATATTGTCAAACGAGATCATCTCTTTGCTCATCGTCATCTCATAAATCACCTACTTTTGACGTTTTTCTCAAGAAATCAATTGATTCACTTTATATATTCACAAGTTTATTTATTCTATCGATCGTTTTTCACTTGGGTTGACAGAATATTTCTGCATTTGTCTCTCAATACATACATGCAAATGCACTTTGTATATAAATGATGTAAATTAGAATATTAAAAACAAAACCGATCATAAGAGTCATAACTTGAACCTGTTATTCAATTAGACAAAAGGTAGATGAATCGTTTCAATTTATGTGGAATAATCATGAAAGTTCATTTTTTTAATTTGCGGTAATTTAAAAATATTTCAATACTTTTTTTTTTAGTTATTTTATTTTAATTATAAAATTTCTTCTTTAATATAATTTTGAAAAATATTTTATTTGTTAATAAAAGTTAATAAATTATAAAATAAATGTGAAAAATTTTTAAAAATAAATTTTCTGGGTCCTAAATCTAATTGATGTTCAAACAGTTCGCGTTATTTTGAGACGAACAACAAATAACTAAGAAAATGAAATAGAAACGAAAAATGATAATTTCGGTAATTGAGAAAGCAATGTTTAAGATTATTCTTTTTTTTTTGTCCCTCGAGAAGTCAGTTAGCGAATCGGTTTAAATATTCTCTAAGGTAACAATCTGTAACAAGGTCGATCCTCGAGGCTCGAAAACGAATCGCGAGGCGAGGAATACATTTTTTTGAGGATCGTCTACCAATCCGGTTTCGAAATTCCTTGACAATTTGCACATATACCCTGCAATCGTGCTTCATATTCTCATCATTTACGAGTTATATGATTACAAGTGTTTGAAAGTTGAAAGTAAAAGCATCTTTACATCTCAGAGCTTATCTTCACAGTTTTTATTTTCATTTTATTATTTAATTTTTATTTATTTATATTTTATTATCACTTCCTTTAATTGATTAAATTTTTTTTTCATTTTTATTATTCTTTATCGTTTTAATTTTATTTTGCATTCTTCACTAGTTCTAGATTTAACAAATTATTAGAAAAAGCTTGATAATTATTTAAAAAAACTTTTTGTGCATACTCATTCTATTCTATTATCGGTTTCTCGTTCTTTATTTTATTATTTGAATGAGTTAAAATATTTGTTTTTGAAAATAGAAACTCTAATTTTCAGTTTATATATTAAGTTCACATTTAAATTTTAAATAAATTGGAAGTTCAATTAAAAAAAAAAGAATTTTAAACTTGATACTAAATACTCAAATTATTAGAATTTAATATAATTTGAAAATTTTTAAGTATTATCAATTTTAAAAAAATGGGGAAAAAAAATCATAAAAGTGTTTTCTAATTTTAATTTTGTAAGATTAGATAAAAAAAAATAATGAATAGAAATATATATTTGAAAAACTATTTTTTTTCTTAAATTTCAGTAACGACTTGGAAGCTCACAGGGTGGAAATTGAATGAGAAGCAGCAACGAAGAGAAAGAATTGATCAAAAGTAATCCTGTTATATTTTTGTTAATCGAAAAAAAAGTATCCTGGGTTATTGATAACTGTAATATACAGGAGACTATCGTGAAGATAACGAGTTCTCATTAAAAGATCATCGTCAGACTGATAAAAGTTTTTTTTTTTCTTCTTTGACAAAAGCTCTTGAGAAATCCAAGAGTGTCCAAGAGTGTCAGTGAGAAATATATTTACTTTTGAAACTAATGAGTTTCTAATCATCCGCGACGATGATTTCGTGACGAAGGTTTTATCGGCCTCGAGGAAGAGCCGCTTAATAAAGGATTATTATTATCAGAAGGATTTTTCATTGTAAACAAGATTATATTCACCTCTTAGAGGAACATGTCCAAGAAGCAATGGATGGTCCTGTTGATGCTGTTCTTGACCTACCTTCTTGTGGGCGCATCGATCTTCTATCATATCGAGAGTCGTATCGAGGTCGAAAATATCAAAAAGGCCAGAGAAGAACGCATCGAAATTTACGGTGGGCCTTACTTTTTTTTTGTTTTCTTTATTTTATTATTTTCTTAATGAATTACTTTTAATTAATTCTAATTAATTTATTAATTTCACTGCCTTGATTTATGGAAATTTTTATTATTATTTACTAAACTGTTCTTACTTTTTTCTATTAAAAAAATTGAATTCTTAAAAATTTGAAATCATTTTCACTTGAAAGGAAATATTTGTAGACAATCTTTTAATATTTTTTGTACTTTTAAAGAATTTTTTCTATTTAAACAAATTCCGTGCCTGTAAAAACAATGTTCTGAAATGTATAGGAAAATAACGAGTTTTCACAGTCGATGAAGATATTTTCAAATCAATTTAATAATTTAATTATTTTTAATCTCGATCACTTGATCCACTTAAGATATTTATATTGATAAAAGTTTTTCGTATGGAATGATTAATAAACATAGTTGTGATATTAACAAAACAAAAATTCGAGACAAGAATTTTTAATTTAATTTAAAATCAATTTCATTTAATTTAATTTGAAATTAAATTTTATGTAACATTGGTAAAAATTGTCTCTAAAAAGAAATAAAAATCCTTTTAAGGGATGAGATTTACATGTATTATATTCATCATCAGAATAAGACCTTTAGTGGAAAATAGAACAGTGTATAAATGATGTAAAATATACGAGCGGTTTTAAATCAAAAGAATTTTATTATAAAAATATCAGAATCACAGATGATGTCCAAAGCAGGACAATTGAATTCTTCTTAGGTCGATAAAAAAAATAGTATATTGAAATTTTGTGTTAAAGTTATATAAATATTGAGGTAGAAAGAAAAATAGAAGTAAAATAGAATTAAAAAGAAGAACAGTTTAAAGTTAAAGAAGATTTATATTTTCAATTTACCGCGACTGAAATCATTTAAATGAATATACAAATATTCTTTTTCAATTAATATATAAACGCCAATTGTTTAAGAACAATTTTAAAAATACTTATTTCTGTTAAATTCACATGTAAAGAATTTTATTTTCGACCTTTTGAGAATTGTAAATTTAAATGAATAATTACAACATGTTTCTTCTTCCTTGATTGGGTCACATTTTTCATTCTGCTCGCGTTTTACTCACCGCAAAATTAAATAAAATCACAAAACAGAATAATGTTTTATTATTCGTATATCTTCCCATTTTATTGACTTCTTTGGCATATTTTTAAAAAATTTTCATTTTATTTATTAATTTCATTTTCCGCCAATTGTAAAAATTTTTTTTTTTATCAAATATCAAATATTTTTTAATTTGTGGAAATTTTCATAAATTTTAAAACAATCCGCTAAACAACAATAAATAATGTTAATTACGCAAATGATATTTATAAAAATATTATCAAAATATATAAAGATAATTTCTATAATTGGTATGAAATTTTGTCAAAAGATTGTCATTAATTTTGGAATTATTATACTCAATAATTAATATACTAAAGGCATATATATACTCGAATAGTAAAATTATTCCTCGATTTTAATATGTATGACAATGTCTTTAGTATTTCAAAGAATGGAAGGCTATATTATGGTGACAGTTTCACAATGTCATTTCGTTATGTTCAAAAGAAGAATTGAACAGAGCAACCAGTGTCAGTGTCATTAAGACTCTTTTGACGAAAGAGAGAATAATGTCACCACTCCCTTAATTCACAACAATTTATGGCATTGAATGCCTCGCAAACTTTATATTCACTTTGATCAGAATCAATTGCCAGGACCATGAACCCATCCGATTCATCATCAATATAATGAAAAAAAAAACTTCCTGATTGCAAATCTATACACACCCTTTTTCACTTCCTTCTTTTCGATGCCAAAAATATTCGCTTTTCGTAGCAATTTAATTTTACTTTAATATAATAAATTAAATATAATAATAAATAATATTCTTTATTATAAAAAATTACAATCATAATTAAAGGGATTATAATTTTTTTTAGTTTATTTCAATGATCGATTGTCTTTTAACTTACATAATTGCATAATGATTCCATAAGCGAAAGATAAATGATTTCTCTATCAAAATCAAAAGATCTAAATGAACAATCAATAATAATAAAAATTTTCCGTATAGAATTTACGATTAATATGTGACATCTGTTTAATTATCCTCTTTTAAAAAAGAAATATAAAATAATTAATTAATTATTAATATTTTTCAAAAATCTTTTTTTAAACTTATTTATTTAAATAAAATTTTTACAAACATTTATTCTAATTTGTAATGATTAAAAAATTTAATTAACACCGATTTTTTCCTCTTGTGATAAATCACCTTGAATCCATGTATGAAATAAATTAAGAAAATAGTTTCAAGGCAAATTGCAAAATTTTTTAATCCTCAATTTTATTCCCTAAATCACATTTTTTTTTTTTTTTATTTGTAGAAATGCCAAATTGTTTTACATTCTCAAGATTAATTACTGCAATAAACTGAGAAATTACTTTTCTTGGCACGTGCAAAAAATAATTTTTTTTATATCATTTATTTAACAATAACAAACAATGTAATCATTGACATTATTTCTAAATTGACTTATATGTTGACACGTCTGTTATTACCAATTATGTAAATGAAAGGAAGTGAAAATTATACTATTATTAATTAATTATATTTTATAAAATAGTTTATACAGCCGCCTTAATGTTCATTTTTCTAATACTTGCACTTGTCTAGTTTTTTTTAACTGACCAATTGAACAAACTGACAATGAAGTTAGTAAATAACAACCTGATAAGATAATGACTGCGTAATTGTCTAGAAGATAGCCTTCTTAAAAAATATAAGACAAATTTAAAGGAATTGCCAAATAAATAGAATTGTAAACTCTTTATATGTGTATAAAATGATTATATATGTGCGATATATTTTCATTGAGGACATTTGAGTCATATATACTTCAACATTTATATACATTTTTGACGTCAAGAATTTATAAACATAATTCATGTGAATGTGATTTTCTGATTCAGAAAAAAGTCCCTTCCATTAATGATTGTAATCTTCAATTCTCAATATTCACACGTTTATCCTTATAGTCATGTTTTTTTTAGTTTTACAATAACAGGAAAAAATATTTTTATAAAAACCCTATTTTATATTTTCTACATTTTTTATATGAACAATTCTTTTCTAAACTTTAAAAAAAATTTCTTTTTTCATTTTTTTTTTTTGTTTTCTTCATTGAAAAATGTGAAATTTTTATTTCATTGTAAATTTATCTTAAAAATCCAAGTGTCAGCTATCCAGTTTACATTAAGCATTTAAAATATATTCATAAGAATTTGCAATTAGAATGCGTTTAAAAACCAGAAATAAATGAAATTCATTTTTGAATGGTAATTAAAGTAGATTTTCAAGAATGTTGTTTTAGAATTTAATATTTAATCTCCTATAAACAAGTTTAAATCTACTGACAAAAAAAAAATAATAATATTTGCAAAATTTTTATTTTCACAGCTATGCTAAATCAACATTATATGCCAAATAATCCTGCTAAAGATCATCGTGTAATTTTGGATAAATTGAGCAGCTATTGTGGCAAATCTTTTCACAATTATTCGGATGGCGAAACAGATCAATCAAAATGGGATTTTTACAACAGTTTTTATTTTGCCTACACAGTTGTCAGTACGATTGGTAAGTTTTTTTTTCTTTTTTTTTAAATAAATAGTAAAGAAATTAATAATAATTAAATTAATTACAATGAATTGATATAATAATATTCTCCAATACTTATAGGTAATATTTTTAATTTAAGGATATGGAAATTTGGCACCAACCAATATGCTGGGTCGTGTTTTAATGATTTTTTATGCTCTCATTGGAATACCAATGAATGGAATTTTGCTAACGCAGTTGGGTGAATTTTTCGGGCAAGTCTTTGTCAAGGCACATAAGAAATATAAATCTTATCAACACGATCAAGCTGTTTGCGAGAAGAAAGTAAAAAAACCCTTGGAAACTAGACGAGCAGGTCTCGCTATGCAAATTTTTATGTATCTGTTACCTGGTTTCGTTATGTTTATATTTTTCCCAGCTTTTCTATTTTCTCACTACGAGGGTTGGACATATGATGAGGCTGTTTACTATGCATTTGTCACTTTAACAACTATAGGTTTTGGCGATTATGTCGCAGGTGAGAAACAATTTCTATTTTTAAATTTTCCAATAATATATTCTATTTTATTCATTTTTTAATTATATTTAATTTTTATTTAAAAATTTTCCTAATTTAAAAATTATCAACTTTTTAAATAAAAAATTAATGTTCTTTTATAATTTTTATCAATTATTAATTTATGAATTTGATTAATATGCTAAAAATGGAAATTTCTCTTCAAGTAAGTAAAAAAAAAAATATTCTCAATTGTCAAATAGCAGAAATAATTGTGATAACGTTATTTTGTGTGATGTAATTTTTCAGGTCAAGACAATACAAAAGGAAGTGGTGTATTTTTCATTTTATATAAGATCTTTTTAATTTTTTGGATCTCATTCGGATTGGGTTACATTGCTATGATCATGACCTTCATTGCTCGGGGAATGCGGAGCAAAAAGATTGCAAGAATTGAGCACAAACTGGCCATGAATTTCAAGCTCACACAAAGTAAAATCTGGAACGAATTCAATAAAGAAGTCAATTATCTCCGAAGGGTTTTTAATGAATTGCAATTATCCAAAGTGAAGGTAATATTTTTTTTATCATTTATTTGAAAAATTAATTTATTTTGTTTTTATTATATTTTATATAATCTATATTTTTTCCAATTAAACGATTTTTTTTTTGCCAGAGAGTCTATGTAGATGAGTATGATTATGATCTACCAACTCCGAAATTTCCGAGAAGTATTAGCTTTCCTGATTTGAGGGAGCTTATCTATGGAGGACTTGAGATTCCCGAACCTCCTCATCCAAGAAGAAGAGCCAATAGTGAAGTTGCACCAATGGTGAGAAATTTTTTCTTTCATTTTCAATTTTTGTTTTAAATCTTCAATTTTTCTTTTATTTTTTTAGGCTCGAGTGGCAAGAGTAGTGTCGGAAACAGATCTTCAACGTATCGATAAGAAGGCAACTTTTGCGGCCCACGCAATGGTCCAACCGGCGGAACTTTTGGCACGACTTGTCAATATTTTAGGCTACATACCACCGTCGGACGATGAGGAAGAATCAAAGACCAAAGAAGGCGTTCAGGGTTTCAGTGAAAAGGAAATTCTCGCCAGTGAAGCACCATGGTCAAATAATGACTGGCGAATTGGTAGTGATAAAATTCCATTTTCAAAGCCAAGATCACGAGCATGTAGTGAAGTGAGATTAGAGAAACCAGACACGAGTTATCTACAAGAAAACGAGGAATGGACATGGTCGGGTCCAGCGGCTTCGAGAAAAATTCAAGAAATTATGAAAACACGTCGATCCGGAGTTCCAACTGTCAAGGATATTAAATCCAAATTACCGTCTCTAGCATTGCCAAAGTCTGTTCCAAAAAGTTTCCTTCCACGTTGGATGAGAAGTTTATCAATAAAAAAATCCAGCGATGCTTGCTCAAGAAGTACAGTGTCCGTTGGCGAGATTGATGATCATGATCGTGAATATTTGCAATCGCAGATGAATCGTGACACGTCAACATCAAATCGTGCTTATTTTACTCACACTGGTGCTGGTAATACAGGCTTAGAGGGTCTTTTAGAGGAGACATCGTTAGCTGATTTTCTTCGAGTATTATCACGAGTAGGTGCTAATGATTTTCCACGAACAGAAACAGGAGCACCGCCTAAACTTCCAAGTCTCTTTACTCTTTTCTCACAACCAACGGATCTTGCCTCGGCGAGTCAAAGTCAACAGAATACAATCACAGCCGCTCAGAATGTAGCTTCAAGACGATTTTCATTGAGAACTGTTGACAATTCGAGTACGTCAACACCACTTTATTCAAGAAGAAGTTTAGCTCAAGTACCAGTAACAAAAAATCGAAGATTCTCCCTAAGACCAGTTGTCACGCCACCTCTTTATTCTTCCACTTATTTGGTAAGATTCATTTTTATTTTTTATTTATTTTCTCTTTTCTTTTTTTTAATTAATAATTTTTATTTGATAACTTTCAGAATGATCATTTGGAACCGCCACCATACACAAACGAGTCATTCAATGTTGAATGTCCAAAGGAACCCCTCATGCAATTGGAAGGCGCTCCTGGCATTTCAGCACCGATGAAATCGTTTCGACGCTTCTCGATAAGACCAGCTCATCCTGACAATCCGACAATTCCATCAGTACCAACTGCCATGACTGGCCAATCGCAACAAACGCGAGCAATTCCCCGTTGGCGAGCTGGAATGCTTCAACGTCAAATTAGCAAAAAAAATCTCCAGCGTCGAGTTCGTGCCTTTAGTCTCACTGATGTTCATTCGGACACTGATCAAAATACCGAAAATATCGAGAAAGCAAAACCCTTGCGACCAAATCCATCGAAATTCACTGGTCGACAATCGTTTCAAAAATCAGTCACAATTGTCTCACCATTAATTTCAAGAACAGCGGAACATTCTTATAAACGCGGTTACTCTGAAAGTGAAGTTGACTCGAACATGTCAAGAAGTCAAGACGCCGAATCTACTTCACTATTTCCACGTGAAGATTTTAGTAAATATCGAAAATCCGATGAATTCTCAAAATCGTTTACCATCGGATCTGATGATTTCTCATCCAGTGGTGGTGAAAGTACCTCCTTTGACACGAATAGAGAAGGTGTCGTAAATCCCCGTTTCGCTGGATTGAAATCATATCCCAGTTATCAAGGTGCAACGAAACTTGCGACAGTTTATTCCGATGATCGATTATCTTGCCACGATCCGGACAAAAGTGATAGCTCATTTACTTCCGAGTGTGTGATTGCATTCAAGAGAAAATCAACAAGTGACATTCATCACGATTTGGAAGGGGCAAAACTACCAAGCACTGAAGCAACGAGATCTTCTTTGCAAATTGCGGCTGATAGAAAATCAAGTGATTCCAATAAAAGTTTTGAATCTTTTTCAGATTCTACAATAAGTGGAGAAACAAAATCTACTGATAGGAAAATTTCGATTGTATCAATCGAAACCTCCCCTGAATCAAGTAGAAAATCGTCAACAATGTCACAGGTTCACACTCCCGAGAGTTCATCATCATCATTTATAAATAGTTCATTGTCAGAAATTAGAGTAGATGATCCTGATCAATTTAGAACAACTATGGAGGTTTCATTGAATGAAGAAGGTTCCCTCATGGAAGTTACAGTTGAGAAACCAAGTTCCGAACCACAAGCGAGTACCAGTTCGGATAAAACAAATGCAGAACCTAAAGCCAGAAAATCTTGTCCAAACTAAATGTGAGAATTTTTTTTTTTTCTTTAAGTTTAAACTTTTTAAGTGATTATGAGTTGAATAAAAATTTTAATTTAGTTTTTAAATTATTTTTGAAATATTGAATCCAAATGTATGAATGAATTATTTTTAAATAGAAAGACTAGTTTAGTTATAGACGGCGATTACATTTTAAAACTGACTAGTGTAATACACTTTAAATTGAAATGTCAAAAATTTCAATGCGGAGCTTCGAAAAAAATGTGATAAAATCATAAAATAAGCAATGATTTTTATTATCTGATTCCCAGGTATATATGTAAAAAAATAAACATAATTTAATATTTTAAAATGTAAATAGAAATATTTTCAAAAAGAATTAAATTAAAACTTTAATATAATTTTTCCATCAGATGGTTTATTTTATTTTAAGAAATACAATAAATAAGGTTTGGTTTCTTGTTGAATATGAATATAAACGGGACTATGTAATTTGCAATCAGAATCATTTCCGGCAGTCTAAGTCCGACCCTAGATGATACAAGTTATTTTGTACAAAAATTTTTTTTAAAAAACATTCACGTATCAAACGAGCCAGACAGTAGAAAATGCAACTTAATTAAATAGCACAAATTAACAAAATTATTTTTCTATCAATTGTTACAAAAGAAATAATAATTATAACAAGATTTTTTTAAGCCTAGGGATTTGTTCGTGAATTTTCTAGCCATTTGCGTATTTCCGAGACGAGTTGATTTCTGGGCACAGATTTTTCAACTCTCGTTGTTACTTCTCGAAATGTAACTTCTCCCCTTTGTAATTCACCTTCGCCAATAATAAGTGCCAATGGAATGCCATTTTCTTCGCAATGCTGCAATTGTCCTAGTAATTTTGGATTTTTCTTGTACGAATGTTCAGCTTTTATTCCCGCCTCCCATAATTCAATAAGTATTCTCATTCTCTCGTCACATAAATTTTTCTGAGCAGCCGCAACGTAAACTTCAACTTCCGTTGTTCGCGTTCGTTGGCCTTTATTCTCTAGTTTCGATTCCATTACACTGAAAATTCTCTCGACACCCAATGACAGTCCCACGCAGGGTACATTTTTCTTTTTTGCATCAAACATTCCCACGAGATTGTCGTAACGTCCTCCACCAGCTATGCTACCAACTCCAACGTCATCTCCTAAAAAAAATCACAAATTTTAAATAACTTTTCATATTCATTTACATTTTATATACAAAATATTAATTTCATTAATACCGGTTAATACTGCTTCGTAAATAACTCCAGTGTAATAATCGAGTCCTCTCGCTAGACTTAAATCAAATTTGACATAGTCGCTGATATTGTAAATATCGCAGTACTTGAGTAAAGTTTCAATGGCATCAAGACCCTGCACGGCATTAGACGATTTTGTTAATTCTAAATCCTTTCTCAATTGATGGACAAGTTCTATTTTTCCCGAGAGAGAAACATAAGATCCAATTTTATCAGCAATTGCGCCATCTAAATTTTTTTCCTCCACCATTTCTTTGCGCACCTCTTCCCAAGGACTCTTGTCCAATTTATCAACGGCCGAGCAAATACTGCGAAATTGTGCTTTTGGAACGCCACACGTTTCAAATATACCGTCTAAAATGCATCGATGATTTATTTTCATTAAAAATGGTCCTAAATCCAATGACGTTAGAGCCTCGTAAATTATGCGTAGACACTCCACGTCTGGTAACATTGGATCATATTGACCGGCTATGTCAAAATCCTGAATAAAAAATTAAAATATGAAAATAAGAGAAATAAAAAATATAATAATGATAAATAAGAAGGAAAAAAATGCTCACACATTGATAAAATTCACGATAACGACCCTTTGTCATTGCAGGATTATCTCTCCTGTATACTTTTGCTATGTGGTACCTTTTTATATTACTAATCTTGTTCATGGCCAAGTATCTCGCGAAAGGCACAGTTAAATCATATCTAAGTGCAAGAATTTCTCCCCCCTGATCTTTTAAATCGTAAATCAGTTTCGAATCCTCTCCATATTTTCCTGTCAAGACATCCTATAAAAAAAACATTTTTTTAAATTTGAATTTTTAATTAACTTTTTATTTTAATTATTATTATTAACACGAACCTTAAGTTCAAAAATAGGTGTGTCGATTGTTTCTGCTCCATGACGTTTGAAAATAGCGACAATTTTTTCTAAAACTCCAAGTCTTAAAGCCATTTGTTCGGGATTATAATCCCTCGTCCCTTTGGGAGTTTTAAGAATAAGTTTTTGTCCAACATTATTATCGTCGCCTAATTGAGCTTTTAGAGCGAGTAATTTTGCAACTTCATCGGCTATCTAAACAGGGGTAAAAAACGGGAATTATTTTTTTTTGAAATTAATTTGTAGTTCGACTATCAACATTTTTTTTTAACGCACGAAAATTTATTTAATCGTACCTTTGGAGCCACGTTTGATGGTGTATTGCAAAATTGACGTTTGGTGAGGATTAAATTCGTTCGTATTAAACGTAACATGTTTTTATGAAGAAAAATATTGTAACCAGAATGAAAGTGAAAAATTCCGCTTCAGTGTTGATTATCGAACTACTTAAAACAATTATTTTCAATTAGCAAATAACTACCATAGAAAAGTTTCTTCCAATTATTTTTATCCATTTTATTAAAAGCAATTAATTCATTTAAATGAATGTTAATAAAAGTAGTTAACTATATGTAAATATTTTTTTGGATAATAATAATTTGTAGTTTTAGTAAGTTTATTTAAAAAAAAAACTTATTTTACCAAAAGTGAAAAGAAACGTGCGAGAATTTCTATGATACATAAAGGGTTTTGAAATAATTCTTTCATGGCAAGCACACAACTACTGCCTCACCTTTTTATCGTGATTTTTATCAAAACAAGCGACAGGATTAATTAAACGATCGACTTTAATTGATAGAGATGAATTTTCTCCTTTTGGAGCAGCAAACGCTAAACGTTCCATTGGAGTATAACTTTTCATATTATCGAACCATCGTTTCAAATAAGGCCAATTTGTTAATTCACCGTTTATATGTTTATTACATAATTCAAAAAGTTGAGCATCCTTGTTTGTTGGTGTCCAACCACAAACATAACTGACATCAATCAAATCTTTATTTATTATTGCAAATTCGAATTTTATATCAGTCGGTGATTTTTGATCCTAAAATGAAACAAAATTCGAAAATATGAAATTTATTGTTTCCAATGTTGATTTAAAAACATTATCAATGAATTATTATTGTTCATATTTTTTCTTGTTTGTGCTGATATGAAATAAAACTGATACTGTTTACATGGAAAAATAAATGAATTTCAATTTGGATACAACAATTGAGCAATAATTGAGATAATGATTGTCAAAATAAGAAAAAAATACTTGTTCAATTTTTAAAGAGTTATTACACAAGTATTATATAGATCTAGTTACGCATTGAACTTTCCAATATGTGCTGATTACACATTTCTTTAAAAAGTAGAGCAAAAAAAATTATGTAAACATTAACAAAATATTAATTGTTAAATCTAAAAATTGTTTACATTTACAAGAAAATTATCCTAAAAACCCAATAAAATTTTAATTAGAATTACATATTTAGAGAAAGTTTTTTTTTTTTTTGAATAACTAATATCGCTTTGAAAATTATAACCTACAAACTTATTCAAAAAATTCATATTTTTCTCAATATTTATAAAAATTGTTTACTGTGAATTTAAAAATATTTTTTTAAATTTTGCTTATTATTATTATTAAATATATAATACAAAATATTTTAATAAACATAACGTATAATTATATGGGAGTAATTATAGTTGTGAAATCATGACCTAATATGTATAGAAATTTTTGAATAAAAAATAATGCACTATTTTTTATAACAAAACAATAATAATAATAATAATAATATTTTACCATGTTTAATATTTACCATATATTAAATAAAACAATTAATTTTTCATAACAATAATAAGGGAAACTTCAATAATTGTGTGCTCCATATGCAGTGAAAGAAAGTTGTTAAGAAATTACGCAGTAGGATATTAAAAATAATGAAATATTACCTGAACAGAATTTGTCTTCTCAGCTTTTAATTTTCGTACAAGATCTCCTTGTTGTTTTATTTGTTCAACAAGTTTTGTCTTTGTTTCATCAGCCATAATGTTCCACGAGGTTATTTTTTCGATGATGCACTACAGATCAATTCCATCCGTCCCCACGTGACAGCAACTTCAGACTGGACTAAAGTGAAATGGAACTGGTCTAGACGCGGAGGAATGGTGGCATTGTGGAACGAGCCGAACGATTCAGCGCATGACCTCCCCGTTTTAGCGGGCTTGTCGGCAAGTTTTAGTTAAGTATTTTCATTGCTAGTTGTTATTAAAGTGTAGTATTCTATTTATTTGTATGAAAATTATAAAAAGTTGCGAAAAAATCGAATCATGCCTGCTAAATTTATTAGATGTACAAGACGCCAACGCCATCGAAAAATCTTTGACAAAGGTATCCACATTTATACTATTTCTTCTTCCCTCTTGATCCATTTCTTTGATAATTTGACGATTTTATTGCCGAAAATATGTTTAATTAGTGTATTAGGAATAAATTATGAAAAATTTTATGATCTGATCATTTGAGGGTTAGGTTTAATGAATTTAGGCGCAATTGTCGGCATAGTTTTTTGGCGCGCTTTCAGCGAAAAATTTTCACAAAGATGTGAGGGTGCAAGCTTGCACATTTTAGTGCGTTGATTAGTTCTTTTTAAGTATTTTCGAGTGAATTTAATAATAATTGCAAATATTTTAGGTTGCATATTGATGGGACAAAGATATGGTGATTAATATGGTGATTTGGTGACGAGGTAACGATCAACGAGTAATCGGCAGAAAGGTAATGTCCCATTGAGGTTAATTTACATTTTTGAGCTTGCATTTATTTATTTTAATGTCTTTTGGTAACAAAAACCAGATATTTTCCGGAAATATATGGAGAATTTTCCTTTTATGAACCATATTTCATGTTTATGTGTAAATCCCTTGACAATTTTAGGAGATATATAACTGTAAAGTTTACATTTCTTCATTGCTTATTTGAAAGGTTATTTTTTTTCTACCACAAAGACAGTTTGATTTATATCAAAAAGAATTAATAAATAGTAAAATAAATTTTGAAAATTAGGCTCTTTGCAAAAATTAAATGTTGAATTTTATTTTATCATCTCATTATTAATTATTGAGTGAAGTGTAAGGGCTAAAATTAAATTGTTTTTTATCATTTTGAAGATTTGGGGTTAAATACAAAACAATAGTAAATATAATTTAATAATTAATAATATTTAAATAATAAATGTAATTTACAAAAAGCAGAAATTTACTTTTTCGAAAAATATAAGTAAAAAAAAAATTTTTAAATACAATAAAGTATAAATTAGTTTTCATTCAAATTAAGAAATTTTTAATTTAATATTAATTAATTAATTAATTAATTTTATTAAATGTCAATATTTTATATTTAATAAAATTGATTAATATTAAATTGAAAGTTAAGAAATTAAAAAATTTTGAATTTAATATTCATTAATCAATTAATTTTATTAAATATAAAATATTAATAGGTATGTAATATTATTTAATTAATTAATAAAAGGCGAAAGATTTATACGCATTTTGAAGGGGAACCAGATAATTTATATTTTATTGTATCTTAAATTTTTCTTTAAATTATTTTTTCGAAAAATAAATTTTTGTTTTTTAAATAATTTAATAATAATTAAATTGTAACTTTAATAATTTTTAAATAAAAAATATTTAATATATTAAATATTTTTTATCATGATTTTTCTCTTCATAATATTTATATGAATTATATTTCTACTAAATTATTTTTTTAATGAAATTTGATAAAAATTAATTTCTTTTTGTTACATTGGTAATTATAAATTTTATGAAATTTTAAGTTCAGCTGTATAATAAGATATACAGAAAAATATATTAAAATCAAGCCTCAAGTTTTAGTAGGCTTTGATTGGGGGGCTCGACTTTTGCTTTACTTTCATTTATTCGCGACAACTATATTTTGCAATGATAGCTCTCCTTCTCGGAATTGCAATATTTACAAGTATCATAGCTTAACTGTTTCTAACACGTGCAAACCACCTTCTATTTGCAAATTATGCAAGAATTTTTTTGATTTGATAATTGTAGTTATTATGGACCAAATATTTTTATAAACTATTTGAACTTTTCATTTCTCACTTTTTCCCTCAACCAATTTAGATTTTTTTAAAAACTATAAAATCAATTTTAAAAAACTATTATTAAATTATTTTTTAATTAAAAGAATAAAATATATTTTAAATTAACTTGTAAAATAATTTAAATTTAAATAATTTCACCGTCCGACACGATTTTTCACACACGAAAAAATCAATGATTTTCAGAAACTAGGACAAAAAAAAAGATACCCGTGTCTGCCCGTTTTGCTAGATCAGGTCATTTTTTGCTTTTAGGGGTAAAAACAACCCTTAAATGAAAGGTGATAGGAAATCTTGTACAAATTAATAATTTTTCATGAAACCTGGTATCTCGGGGTTTTTGGGGTCGCTGATAACGAATATGATGTCATATTTTGAAAATTCAAAATGGCGGATCCAATATGGCGGTCGAAATTTATAAATATTAATTATTTTTTATAAAACTTGGTATTTAGGGGTTTTTGGGGTCGCTGAGTACGAATATGAAGTCAGATTTTTAAAATTCAAAATAGATCTAATAATATGGAAGATTAGAAAACAATATATAAAAAATAAAAATTTCCACATATGTGTTTTTTGTATATTGGACACTTTTTTAATGACAAAACAGGCTTTGTAGTAAGTAAGAATATTTTTATTAGATAACAGTAATAAGCTCAAGTAAGATGAATTTAAAGATGTGAAGTGATTGTTTAAAACTGCTGTGCAAAGTAAAAAAGTCTGCAATTGTCATTTGTTTTATGTACTATTTTCCGTAACTATGCAACTGAAAACGAACATGTAAACAACTGTCTAATCTTCCACATTATTAGATATATTTTGAATTTTAAAAATCTGACTTCAGATTCGTACTCAGCGACCCCAAAAACCCCTAGATACCAAGTGTTATAAAAAATAATTAATATTTATAAATTTCGACCGCCATATTGGATCCGCCATTTTGAATTTTCAAAATATGACATCATATTCGTTATCAGCGACCAAAAAAACCCCGAGATACCAGGTTTCATAAAAAATTATTACTTTGTACAAGATTTCCTATCACCTTTCATTTAAGGGTTGTTTTTACCCCTAAAAGCAAAAAATGACCTGATCTAGCAAAACGGCCAGACACGGGTATCTTTTTTTTGGTCCTAGTTTCTGAAAATCATTGATTTTTTCATGTGTGAAAAAAAAAGTTGAATTTTGTCGGACGGTGTTTTACATGAAAGTATATTAAATATATTTTATTGTTTTAAAGAGAAAATAATTTATTGAAAATTAAATATTTTTGGGTCAGACCATTATATTTTGACCAAAGTCGTTGCGGCCTAATTTTAAAAAAAATTGATACTTGCAGTACTGATTCTTTATGATATGCAGAGAACGAAATAAAAAGAATTATTACAAAAATTCTTTATTTTACTCAAAATATGAGTTTAAAGTGGAGAAGGTCCGGAAAACTGTCACTTTTTTAGCAATTATAAAATATATAAAAAAAAATATAATAATTGTTAAAAAGGTAAAAAGAATTATTGTTTCTTGTTTAGAATGAATTGATTTATTATTTTCTAATGATTAAATTAGTGAAAAAATTAAAATAATGGATAAAATATGTCTTTAAAGTTAGTCTGTCAAAAAACCTAATTTTTCGATTTTTATCAGTTAATTACAATTAAGTGGAATTATTAAATTAAATTTGAACTTACCTAATATGAAGTAAATGATAAAAATCGAAAAATTTGGTTATTTGACAGATTAACTTTAAAGACATATTTTATCCATTATTTTAATTTTTTCACTAATTTAATCATTAAAAAATAATAAATCAATTAATTCTAAACAAGAAACAATAATTCTTTTTACCTTTTTAACAATTATTATATGTTTTTTTATATATTTTATAATTGCTAAAAAAGTGACAGTTTTCCGGACCTTCTCCACTTTAAACTCATCTTTTGAGAAAAATAAAGAAATTTTTGTAATAATTCTTTTTATTTCGTTCTCTGCATATCATAAAGAATCAGTACTGCAAGTATCAATTTTTTTTTAAATTAGGCCGCAACGACTTTGGTCGAAATATAATGGTCTGACCATTTTTAATTAATTTTTGCTTGGTTTTTTAAATTTTAAATTAGTAAAAAATGAGTCAAAAGTTTTGAACGTTCAAATGAACAAAATTTATTTTGCAACTTCTTTAAGTACGAATTTTATTACAAAATATTGTTTTAAATATCTAAAAAGAAGTTGTTAATTTAATATTTGTTTAATTTAATAATTAAAGATTAATATTATCAATAATAATTTAATTTATTAGAATATTATTACATATTAAATGATAATAATGAAAATTATATATGTTTACAGGCCTCGGATTATACGACTTTTTCCGACTTTTTTTAAAAAAAACGACTTTTATCGATTTATTTTAATAAAATGCGACATTTTTTTTACATTTGAATAAAAATGTAAATAAAATACATTTTTTTAGTATAAAATGTAGATCTTCACTAAATTAATTATTTTTAATAATTTTAATTAAATACATCACAAATTCAATTATATCAAAATTATTTTTCAATTAAAATTTTTATGAAATTTAACAATTGTTTATAATTTAAAAAAAAATATCACAATAATATTGAATTATTTTTTAAAAATTTCAATTCAAAATAAACTAAAATTCAATTATTACACGAAATTTTAATTCAAAATCAATTAAAAATCCAATAATTATCCAAAATTTTCAATTTAAAATTTAATTATTTACCAAGTTTTCAATTTAAAATGAAATAAAATTCAATTATTTTCTAAAATTTCTATTCAAAATTAATTATCTAAATTTTCAATCAAAAATGAACTTCAATTAAATTATTATCCAAAATTTCAAGTAAAATTCAATTATTTCCCAAAATTTTTAATTCAAAATGAACTGAAATTCAATTATTTTCCAAATTTAAAATCAAAATTAAATTTCATTATTCTCAAATATTTGAATTCAAAATTAATTGAATTTTCAATAATTTGAACTTAAAAACATCTAAAATTTAATTATTTCTAAAATTTTCCATCGAAAATTTTTTTTTTTGAAATTTAATAATTTCAATTATAACTGTAAGGAAATTCAATTATTTTTAACTATTTTAATAATATTCTTTGAAAATTCAACTATCTGAAACCATTTTTCAATTAAAAATGATTTTCAAATTATTGTATTTTGTCCGCATTTTCTAATAAATTTTTAGTGAAATCATCTAAAATTTTAATTACAAAACACTTAAAGTTTCAATTAATTTCAAAAATCTCAATTTTAAATCATTGAAAATTCAATTAAATTTAAAAAATGTTTTCCAAAAATTGTTTGATAAAGTATTTTTAGTTCTGTAAAATTTAATAATTGTTTGAAAAGTAACAATATCTTTTGAAATTTAATTATTTCTAAAAATTTCAACTTTAACCCTTCGAAAAGGATTATTATTTAAAAAAAAATTTTTATTTAAAAATCTGTAAAATATTTTTGTTAAAATAAAAAACAAGTCCACTTTTTTTTTGAATATAAATCGACTAAAACGACTTTTTGTGTCTTTAAGTTGATTCGAGGCCTGTGTTTTTATAATTAATATTTAATAGGTAATCTGGTACCTTAAAAATTAATTTTTAAAAATAAATTTTTTTCAAATTAATATCTTGTACGAAATTTCCTGGCGCATCTTTTTTCTCATCATAAATTTTTTGTATTTGTATACAATTTTTGAATCAATATACAATTTTAAAAAAAATTTCGTTGGTAAACGAATTTTCGAATTTGGAATTTTAAAGAAACTTATTCCGAAATTTGGAAACACAATTATACAACTTTGGCAAAAATGAGAAAAAGAATTGTCAAAATTTGACACGTCATAAGATTACTATTCAAAAAAACACGTGAAATCAGAAAAGGCCAACTTCAAGTTAGGACAGAAGGACAGACCAAGCATTTTATTATTATATATAATTGACATTATAATTTTTAATAATTTATAGATTGAAAAAAAATATTTTGTTCATTTGAATGTTCAGAACTTTTGGCTCATGGTATAAAAAATAGTTAGAATTTAATAATTTCTGATGATAATTTGGAACTGTAAATTTATTTTACTATTTTATTAATTTCTTTTTATTGATTACAAAATTTTATGTAAAATAGAACTGATTCTTTTGAATCATTTGCACAAAAATCACTTTCTGGAGAACAGAAAATAAAAATAATAAAATTAATGATGGGAATTATTTTTCAATAAAATATAGAAAAAACAATGAACATATGTACATCTAGATAACTTTTATTAACCAAATAATCATTATCATTACAAATTATTACGCGGATGAGACATGCGCGTACGTGCCATTCAACGGATACAATGAAACGTTATAACATTACAATCAATGATCTTGCGAATGAATGAATTAAAAGTTCTTCTCACTATTTGGATTAAGAACTGCTTACTTGACAACATGTATGCATTTTTTATTTTATTTATTTATTTTTTTTTTAATTATCTTGTTCATTTACATTAATGTTCAGTTGTGTTTCTGTATAGTTGTAAGTATGAGTCACTTGTGCGCGTGTGTGTACAAACTTTGATAATTATAGTCGAAGACATCAAAAACTTTCTACGTAATATTAAATAACATCACCGCGGATTGCATTAAAGTCTGATCATCGATATATGTATATATAACTTTATATATATAATATAGCGTTTAGTATTACGCGAAAGTAGATTTTCTGTGTGTATATATATATTGAATAACGTGGTCACACCTTCGTGAAACTTTCATTTGATTGGCTTCCCCATGAAAAGTATTAAAATCCAGTTGAATTATTAATCATGACCTTGCTCAATAAACCTGAAGAAAATTATTCACTTATAGTTCTACATTTTCACAGAGATGGGATTTTAGCAGAATAATAATATTAATAAATTAATAATAACAATAATAATACTAATAATAAAAATAATAATAATAATTAATCACCAGGTACAATGCATTGTAAAGATATATTAAAAATGTAAATCTTATTAAAAAGATTAATATCTTAATTAACAAATATCGAACAATGAACATTAAGTATATAAATGAAATATATTAGTAACAATGTGGCGGAGTTAAATACTTTGGTATTGGGTTTCTTTTAGGAGTGAATTGAAAATTCATAATCCCTTTATATACAATATATATGATATTAATTATATAGTATAAATAATTATTAATTAAACATATAAATATGTATTACATTAAAGTATATTGGATCAGTCATAATATTTCCGTTTATTTTAAAGAAAGCAGTAAAAATTAAAAAAAAGCATTAAAAAAAATCCCAAATTTAAAAAAAAATTTTGAAATAAAAATTCGAGAGTTATTCTAAAACTAGAGTAGAAAATAAGCGTATAATCTTGCATTCCTTATCAAAAAATCTGAATTTCTTTTTTTAAATTTTATAATTCAATAATTTGAGAAAAATTCAGTATTTTTTTTGCTAAGGAATAATCAAAATCTATCCGAGTATATTGTGGTCCATTTAACCGTTATTTTTTTTTTTTTATAGATCTGACCTTGGCAAAAAGTTAAAGGCTCTGGTCAGAAAAAGGGTAATATAGAAGTTAAATTTTAATTAATTAAAGATATAAATGCTTTTCCCATCTCTGGATTATTATTATTGTTAATTATTATGTTTAAATCGTGCGCAAATCCGCGGCTTTGCTTTGCTAGGCTTAGGGCTACTGTATTATTTTAAGATATCGGTGTTACTTATACAAGAATTCTTCTCACGATACGGGCATATTACAAAGACGTCGTTGCCAAATGAAAACGTCACATTCGTTCGATTTCATTCATACTTTGCACGCACACTCGTATAAGTCTCACATATTTGCGAGAATCGTGGAAGGATTTATAGGTGCTTTTTTTTTTTTAATATAAATGATGATGACTCGACCGGATTTTTTTTATTTTTAATTTTTTTCCCCTTCGAATAATGATTGTGAATGTTTATTTTCTTTTTTTTTTTGCTCTGAAATTGGTCCGGTATGGCAGTGTATATATTATATATATTTATCTTTCTCAATATTTGGTAAATGGCCATTTTTTTGAACGAAAGATTATATTTTTCTAAGTTGTCATTCCACTGATAATATTTTATTCGCATTTTTGTTTGTTCTTTTCTTTTTTTAAACACCCTAAGATACACGCAAGTCTCGGGCGTCAGAGCGTCGGTGAAAAGAATGTAAAAAAACAAAATTAATGAAAAATGGCACGTTTTTCGTTTCACAAACGCTCTGTCGTACTTTAATTTTTATTGATATTTACATTTCATTCAGTCGCGTTCAATCAGATTCATTCTTCTCTCATAATATATTTATATATCTATATTTATATATATTTATATATATATATAATTTATATCGTATATTATATATATATGTCAATAGTGTCATTTCGGATATACGTATTTTAATTTAATACGTTTATGTATAATGTCGTAATTTGTCGCGATGTTTGCGCGATTATTTTCGTAGTCAATAAATTTAATAATAACCTCTCTTTTTCTTCACTTCATAAATCTAATAATTAAAATATTTAGACTCGAAAGCTATGTAAGTACATAATTATTGGAGGATGGAGATTACGCGGTTGATGAGAAGGATGGGTGTGCAAAAAAAATTTTGCCTTTATTTCCCTATATAAATGGTGAATCTTTCTCACAACGATTTTTGCCGAGACAAATATATTCAGTTTAAATGATCGATTTCACTGAAACGGCCTTAGACACTAATCAATAGTTAGTTACTTTTTTTTTTTTTTATCTTTTTCATGAGTGATGAAATTCATCTAACGATGTATTTTAACTAACATATTCTAGAATCTACCTGTTGCACTTCCTCTGCCTACTATATTTAACGATATCTATTATTCATAGTTAGCTTTTTTTAGTTAATGACTTGGTTTCTGTCTCTTTTCGTCTCTTTATCGGTGATTTATACGCGATCAGTGCTTTTAAAAAAAATAACTACATTCTCTATACACACTTTTCGTTAAAACTCCTCTCGTTCCATTTCTCTTTTTATGTTTTGTTTAAAAACTCTCTGTCTTTAACATCTTCTGGTTTTTTTCCCCCGTTCAATATTCAATTCTCAATTTCTTGTCACGCGATGCTACATATATATACGTAAGACAGTGCGATAAAGTATTTGGAAAAGTAGAAACAATTTTGTACTTTGCGATGCGCAGTGAACACAGAATTGCGGGACAAAAAGAAAATGTGTCAAAGAGTGTAATAATCACTCATTTTTTTTTGCGCGATGAATTTGCGTCCGCATGAGATTATAAATGCATTTTTTATACACTTGTCTTAAATCGGCAAGGTGTGATCACAAATTTGTTTTTTTTTTCATTGACAGAAAAACTCAACGAAATGATGGCCTCGTCCATACATCGAGGACTGGTATACAGTCATTTTCGATGCAGGACGTGGTTCGTATAAAAGTAGAAAACACGACAATAGCATAAAATTTACTAGTGATGTTTGCGTGAAAGTAAATGCGCGCTACTCTCAAGTGCTACTTTTATTTTTTTTAAAGTGTTGAAACTCGGATTATTTCACCCGTAATCGCCTTGAAATTCAGCTTCAGTGATGGATTTATCACTTTTTTTTTATTGTTGAGGTGGAAACTTGCTGACTGAAAGAATATTTAAAACGAGTACTAAACTTTCAGTCCCTTTATTTTTTTTCCCAAGGGCTTTCTTCGTTCGTTGTAGCTTAGCGAGTCAATCTATACTTTCCTCTGCAAGAAATCAAAAAATCTTTGATCTCTCAGTTTTATTCCAAGAAAAGAAAACAAAACATTGACCCATTCATGTCTCGGACGAGTCATAGTAACTTCATCTTTCAATCTTGGTTTTTGAATCCTCTTAAATACTTTTTTAGGTTTAATACTTCAAGATTGATATTTCCATTCCATTTCCGCATGGAAAAAATTCTTTTCTGTTATGACTCGTATTAAACGAACGATTTATTCTCTTTCCATTGTCGTTGCTCGTTTCTTTGTTTACTCAAGACGTGCCTTGTAGCTGGTCTTCCAAATCTCAGCAAGCGTCACTGCACTGTGGAACCTATGGAAAATACATAGTGGCAATGTGACCCTCTGCACAATTGCCCAAGCAAGATATCCATAAAAGTCAAGTTGAACTGGATTGAGATTGACTTTATGTGCCTCGAATGAATAAATGACCCACATTGTAACGTTGCACATCAACAGGAAGGTGACAATCTGTCGACCAGGTTTGCTTCTATCGTGTTCCGGTAAATGAACTCTCCTACGTGAGACATCAGAAATGAAGAGCATCTGTAGTACCACCTGTGCTACAGCAAGAAGACCTGTGACCATCACGAGAAGATTTGGTTCGTGAGTAAAAGCCGAGAGAGAGCCAGCTATCACGCTAAATGCCGCGTAAATGAAGAGACCAAAAGCCGAAACTCGAAGTAGAATATCATTCAGATCACTCTGTTCCTCGGCCTTGAATTTCAAACTCTGCACGCGAATAAATCCAATTATAATGGCAATGATGGAGAGTGCCATTAATAGACAATGTGAAGCGTCTGCCAGATAAATTGCCAATAGTCCCATTCCAGGATTGCGTATCAGTACGAAGAAACATATCAAACAGATCAATGAACCCACTAAGAGTAGTAATCCGAAGAAAAGTCCTTTGCTGGCCCCAACACAATCCACTCGGCCGTGTCCTAAATATAAATTTTACAAAAATAAGACATTTACAAAATGAGATTAACATTTACATGAAACCTACCCAGATAACAAATTTAATCAAACCAAGAAGAAAATTCGATGTGAAATAGTGGTTTTGTGGAGTGAAATTGTTATAGAAAAGAAATAAGAAGAGGGTAAGATATCGAAACAGAATTTACAGAGAGAAATCTTGTTACTTGGGCAAGGTTTCTGAAAAAAAAAAAAATAGGGATTTGAGTAATTTCGACTTCGTTCTGATCTGAAGTCGTTTTACTGACCATTCCGAACAGTAGGCTTCCCCGTAGTGGTCCGATTGGTTTCTTCACTCTCGTTAACGGACGGAACGATTTCACAATCGCTTGGTGGTTCATCTCCTTCTGGAGGGAAAGGGGTAAGGTTGATAATAAAACTGGTCGTGAGAGTAGGGTGCGCGTTATTAAAAAAGGATTTTGATCAATACGGGGGGGCCTACTGTATTTTAGTAAAAACTCTTTCTTAGCTATAGAAAGATATATTCGTTATCATTGAAAATCCCGAAAAATTTTTTTAACATAATCCTCTAAGAACGGTTGGTCTAATTTGGTTGGCTCTTATTTTCACAAAATCGAAATTTCTTAGGTCGCCTATAAAACACAGTTTTTTGGTATTAGAAAACATGTCACAAACTGATCGAGTTTAAATTTTTAACAACATTTTTAAATAGAAGTTTAGGAATTATTGTGAAGGCAACCTAAGAAGTTCAAACCTTTGTAAAAATAAAAACTGTCCTAGAAGAGCTCGTCTTCATTAAGAGATTTAGTTTATCATTAGACTACCTAATAGACTATTTATTGGATTGTTAGTTCTAACTAGTATGGACTATTTACATGGGGAAATGATTTGCAAAACTAGTTAATGATGGTGAATTTTAACAAACCTGCATGTGCAAGAGCAACGGCCCTTCGTGATAGCATTGCTTCTAAGCGACGTTCAAGATCGGCTTCAGCTTGTCGTGGCCAACGTGGATGACGACCAATATGCTTCCACATTACGTAAATCACAGCAGCGCCAATAAGACTGTATTCAATGATGAATGGATACAAATAGGGTGCAGCATCCTGAACAGTGGTACCCATAATGCTAACACGTTCGCATGAATTTTTATTTGAAAAATTGGCAGTGAGTGCCTCGGCATGAATTCCGAAATTGGATCCCCAGTATGAAGTCTCATTACTCGAATTGCTGGGAAGACTTGGATTTACATCATAAGCCTGAGGAATGTTATTCTTGTTGATGGACTGCGGTGAGTCAAACAATCCAGCGACGAATTGTGATAGTGTTGTGGTGGAGAAAGTGCTAGTGCTTGTTGTGGTTGATGATGGTGTAGTTTCCCTCCAAGTGTTATTCTTAGCTGGAGTCAAGGTTGTCAGTAAAGTTGAGAATGTTGTTGCTGCTGTTGTAGGTTGTCTGGTGGGTGTAGTGGGAAATGGTGTTGTCGAAGTGGTAGTGGTGGTAGAAGTAGTGGTAGTGGTTGTTGATGGATTAGCTGTAGATGAAGTTCTCCATGGAGTAGTGGTTGTTGTTGTAGCTGTTGTTACAGCTCGTGCAACAGCTCTTGCCGTTGTTCGAGCAACACGTCCTAAGGATGATACGGTTGTTCTGACAGCTCTAATTGCAGTTGGTGGTTTCACGGTCGTCGAGTAAGATAATTTTCGTAGTTGAGCCATATCTCGTGGTTCAATGCCAAGAATTGCATCGGCATTCCTTATGGTGTGCTCGCTGATACTCGCTGCATCAAATTAATTTCAGGTAAGGGTAAAAAAATTTTAATTTAGTGCATTAATGAAGAAAGTTAACTTAATAAGAAAAGTGTACATACCCAAAAGACCGATTTCTTTTCGTCCCAAACTTTTGTGATAGACTGTGATATCTTTTAAAGTTTCCAATACCAAGGTTCGTATCCAAACGCAAACATTTGTTGCTACAACGTGCATTAGACCGAAACGAGCGATTACTTTAAACCGGTGAATGTTGAGCTGTTAAAATGAATTTTTAAAAATTTATCATTTTGACTTTTGATTTATTATTATTAAGTTCGGGTTGAAAATAGGAATAGCATACCCTTGAATTCATGAAAATGAAATACATTTGCATGAAAGTGAAAATCATTTGTAGAACGGGATTCACTCCTTTTAGAATTTGATAACATGGTGAAGTAGGTAAAACTTCGAAAAAGGTTCCGAATTCCAATCCATTGTAAACCATTGTCCCCAAACCGAAAGCTGAAACAAAATTGAATTTAGAATTTGATTCGAGGAAATCTTCTTATACTTTGAAATTGTTATTACCGATCGCGCCCATCCTGAGGAAAAAGCTACCATGGCTTTGATCATTTTGTGTGGTTTTACGCTTTCGAGTAACCACCGCAGCTTCCACATCTGCAGGTTCCTGAAATAAACGTTCTTGAATTGAATCATAAAGTACTTCGTTAAAATTCATCTATTTGGCAAAATTCGTGCGTTTAGGTATAATAAATTTATTTTGTATTTTTCATAATTCATAACAAAGAAAATTGATTTCGATCCAAAAATATAAAATTAGAAACTCATATTCATTATTATGATTAATAGAATGTTTCCTTGGAAACTTCACTTTTTATATAACATTAAAGAAATAAACGTTTTTAGGAATTTTTTTCCAAAAATAATTTTTGTTGGCGAGATATTTAAAATGTATGATACTGATTGAATCATAGAAAAAATATACAAAGCAAGTGAAATTCCTTTCAACAAAGTTTAAAGACCGGGATTATTTATTTTGATTTTCGAACAGTATCTCTGATCCAAGAGTTAATGATACGAAACTAATTGCGTCATGTATTTTTTTTAGCTAAATATACTGAATTGTAAAATTAATTAATAATTAATCATACCTTCTTTTTCTTATCTTTTTGTCCTTTTTGTTCTTTGACCTTTTTGTCTTTCTTTTTCTTATCTTTGTCTTTTGTTTCTTTAGATGCTTTTGGTGGTCGTGGCGGTGGTGGAGGTGTTTCAACGCCCCTGGAGCAGCAGGCGCTTTCCTGAAGGAGGAAGCAGAATACGTAGAGCAGAAAGAGGATGCTGACTCCATAAAGGTATGTGAAGAAACCCTCATAATAATATGCAGGTATTCGATAAGTGACAACATCGCTTATTACATAGGCAATGCAAACAACTATTAAAAGTTTTGCATATATAAAGCTCATGATGATAAAAAGGGACGTCCTGAAACAAATAGAAAAAAAACAACATCGTATGGTTTTATAAAAAAAAAAGTATAGAAATTCGATATAATGAAAAGATTATTTGTCTGATAGGAGAAACCAGTTTCTCAAAAATAAGAATCTTGGAGAAAATTTACTCTTTTCTTTCACATTAAAACAAAATTTTAAGAGTTAAATATTATGGGAATCTGAAGAGAGGACAATTTTTTTTGGCATTTCTCGCATTTGTTTTACATTTAATTTTAATTCTTACCGTTTTTTCTTGGCAATTGTCACCCTACTATTTCGTCTTCTCGGGAAAGTCCCGGCTTTCTTTTCATTTCCATCAACAAACGGAACAATTTCTACTTCCATTTTTGGTTGGAAACTTGTTACAAAATTAAAATTTATTTGCACACTATTGAAATATGACAGTTCTTTTTTTCATTTTTGTGATTTTTTCTTTAAAATGTTATGTTCTTTTTGACATTTTCTTTAAACACGCGATATTCACATTTATTTAAATTATTAATTATAATATTAACACTAACTTTTATAATAGAAAAGTTAATTATTTATTTTTTTGAAGTTATTAAAAAGGTAACACACTGTTGATGATAAAAGAGATATCACTGTTAATATAGAGGTTAAAACGTTAATCATTTAAGATAAAGATGCACTGTTTGGTAAAGGCACGATGAAGTTTTCTCGCTCGTGCTTTAAAGCAGACTGACGTTTCCGTGTGTTAGGCAGAATTCTATTTTTGAATATTTCTTACTAAAAACTTCCTCCAACTGGAGGAAGTACAGATGGTGTATTATTTAAAAGAAAAATAGGGTGTGTCCGCGGTTGGAGTAGCCAATAAATATACATTGTTTTTTTTTTTTTAATTAGTAAAATCTCGATATTTTATGATTTTTAATTTATTTTTATATAATTTATAAATGTACTTTGATTAAGAATTTAACTTTTATTAGTAAATTTACGTCACGTTAATATTTTTATAAAATTCCGATGAACTTTTGATATTTATTCCCATAAGTGACCTTTTAAATATTAATAAACATATATTAATAATACTTATCTAATTATACGTGTAAGAAAATTCTTGAAAATTTCTTTGTAAAAAGCTTGTTTTACGTTTAATTTTGGCTTAATATATTAGTTAAAATATTGACTGAATTTAAGACGAAGAATTTGATTTTAAGACAAAAATCTGTTTTTAACATTATTAGGTTGTAAAATAGTTTTCGGTTTTGAAAAAATACTCTGAATCTTAAATTCAGTTAATATTTAGACTTATGTGATTAAATAAATTGAACTATTTTTTACTGTTACAATTTTATTTATTTTTTGAAAATTTAAAGAATTTAAAAATTTTCTACTTATATTAAATTCAGAAAATGGGCATTAATTTTAAGAATTTCTTTTTACTGAAATGCATTCAATTCTGTTGAATTTATTTTATATTAAGGTAAAATTAGTTTTTATTTTCATTTAATAAGTAATTTGGGACAAGTGACTGTGATATCGTGATTAAAGATCGTCTTTCAAATATATCGACTTTGAGGGGGAAGGGTATATGCAATACCGCATGATGCATCTTTGTCAACAGGAGCTTAAACTCTTTTGTTCTTGGTGGCATTTTAGGGGTTGAAACGCAGACTTTATTGTGTCTCACACGAGCTTGTACACTCGAGTCAAACATTTTTACTCTCTCGCGTTCTCTGATAAAACTTTGCGCCTTCTATATGAATAAATATTGTGAAACTTCAGCACGTTTTTCTTTCATGGGTGGAAAAATTTTCACTTTTTTCCTTCACTCAATTTACGAATTCCCCTAACAATAGAATTTGATTAACTTTTTTTTTTATCCAATGTTTCTCTTTCTCTCACTATTTTTTTTTATCCGATTACAATCCCAGACAGATTATTCTTGGTCGTCCTTTATAATAAAATATTTCTCGAATTCTGAATTCTATTTTTAAGAAATAATTGGTTTTGTGTCTCTCTTTTGTACTGGAAAATTATTGCTTTTGTTTGCTTTACTTTTTCGACTGAAAAAATACGATATTTATGATTAAAATCAAGGTTTTATTTTTGGAGTTAATCTTAAAATGAGAGTAATAGTTTTGTAATGAGAACAATATTCAGTTATTTAAGAATATTATATTGATTTAATTTTTAATTTTCATTTCTGATTTTGAATCAAAGAAACATTTAATTTGGCTCTAATTTTTATTAGTTAATTTTTAAATTGTTTTTTATAATAGTTTTCTATAATGATGCGATCGTCGTGATTAATAAAAGTCATTGAGTAAAGCAAGTCTTGAAGATCAAAGAATCCGGAGTGAAATCTCGGAAAGTGTCCCAGTCAGCTTTATTCATTCTCGGGCAGGAAAGCATCACAAGTAGAAAGAGTAGTGCATAGCACAGACTCCGAGCGGTCCAGGCTGACTGGTCGATATCTCGAAGTACCTACTTTCAGCTCCTGCTTCACTCCCTCTTCTATATATACCTATACATATATATATATATATTCCATATAGTGGTTGAATACACGACTCTCTATTCCTCTCTATTTTTTCCTCATCATTGTCTCTCCCTTCTATTGTATTATTTGCCTTTGCATTTTTTGTCCTGTGGGAATAATCGTCCTTTTCAATTTCGTCTCTCCTCCTCTCTTTTTATTTCGATCAGACACTATCTTCTGGATCGTCGAATCTTTTAGTGTCACACTCAATTTTCATACATGCATAATTAGATTCAGTTTTTGTTTATTTAATAATTTTCTTGATAGTTCAATAATCAATTTGTAAAATTAATTTTTTATTAAATTATTTATTAGTGGAAAAAATTAAATTTATTATTTACGTGTTATTTTAATTGTCATGAATTATTAAAATTAATTAATTTATTTCAACTGTCTTAAAGTACACTGAGAAAAAATTTATTTGATTCAAATAATATAGTTACTTGACTATTATCAAATAAATATTTCCTTGAACTAAATAATTTTTTGTTTGAATTGTATTTGAACCAATTATTTTTGTATTTGAACTAAATATCATTTAATTGACTCAAATAATAATTATTTAATACAAATAAATATTTATTTGATTAGTCAAGTAATCGATTATTTGAATCAAATAAATTTTTTTTCAGTGTAAAGAAATTGTTATATTTATATAATTATATAAATTGTAATAATTTCTATATGAAATACGATTTTCTAAATAGTTTATAATTATTTTAAACTTAGTTTGAAACGTGTATTGGTTTCCATTCCAATTCGTTGCACTTTTATGATTATTACAGCTATTTGCATAAATTTTTTTGTTATTTATTTATATTATTTAGTTATTATTTTTGTTGTTATTATTATAATTATTATTAATGTTGAACAAAATAATTGAATTAGTGAACTCAAGGAGTTATTTAATGAAATTAAAACTGGAAAAAAAAATTTTCTTCTTTTCTGTTAAAATATGGAAAAATCCACTTGCTTTTTAAAATCACTCTAAACACTTTTTTATCCTGAATTAAAGTCAACTATATATGTGTGTATCAACTTGGTAACATTAGAGATCAGGCTTCAGTGAACATTTCACGAGTGATGATGTTGGATGAAGACCTTCGCAGTTAACTATCGAAAGTCTTGCTTAGTCAAAAGCAACAACTAACGATCCTACGTAGTCAAGGGTTGAATTGCAACTGCATATTGAATGTGATCATGTCTAACGACGCTTTCCATGCTTAGGCGTGGGGTCGTGACAACATTACTGCGTCTGCGAATGTAATTCGAGAAGACACTGCTTTACAGAAGGTTCACGCACACGCCACACACATTTTCATTTATATATATATGAGTGTTCCATGCTTACACTCCACTCTTTCATCTAGATCAATAACATGAAATTAACACTGAGCTAACAATTCTTCAATGTGCGTTAAAATTACTCGTGTTCTTAAATATTTGTTTGAATTTATCATATCGAATTTCTCTTGATCTGTTTCATGTATCGAAGTTCTATACGTATTAGTTAGTCGCATGTTTTAGGGAATGAGTTTCTGTAGAAATTTCTCATTTTTAATCTTCTTGTGGTTTTATTTTAGTATTTTAATTTTTAGTAAATATAAATTGAAAATAGACAATTTTTTTTTAGTAAATCCTCTAATTATTCATATTAAAATTTAAAAAAAGGAGGAAATTATATTTTAAACATAAATAGATGTGTAAATTTATGCAAAGTAAAACAAACAATTTAGAGATAAAAAAAAGTTTGAAAAACATTTAAATGGGTATTTTGTCTAGACATTTATTTTAACCAGAGTATATTTGAGAAAAAGATTTATTCGAAACTGAAAGATGTTTTAAACAAATTGTCTGTTTTCTATAAAAACAAACTTTTTTGTCTTCTTTTAAATTTGTATAAATTATTTTTTTTTACTCTTTTTTTTCTTTGAGAACAATTTTAGAATATTGGAAAATAAAAGAAAATTATAATCTAAATATTTTATTTACCAAAAATAAAATATTTATAGGTCAAACTTGAATGAAAATTTTAGGGAATATATTCTCTCGTACATTGTATAATATGGGTTCTAGGTCTAGAGTGTGCTTGCATTTCAAGATATGTTCTCTATGCTTTTGCCATGTTTGACTGCACTTCAGAAACGTGCTAACGAAGTATCTCAAATATGGAAACGCGACTCAAATACGAGTCTCTTACCCTGCTTTCGTTTCTTCTCCAGAAACTTGTTTTCTCGTTAACTGTTTTAAAACATTTCGAGTAATTCTTTTTCGCAATTTTCATTTTTCTCAACACAGATGTGAAACTCTTTAGATTATTATTAATTTTGTTTAAAAAAAAGGTCGATTTATGATTTTTGAAAGATTATTAAAATGTAAAATAAAATTAAATTATAAATTATTAAATTTAAATTATTAAATTATTTTTTAAATCCCATAATTTAATGAGATTTAAAGAAAAAATGTTGAAAAAAATATTCCCGAAGTGT